CGAATGGACATGAATTCCTGGGAGAAACAACCTTTAAGCAGTGAGGCTATGTGAAACATATGTAAATTACTAGAGATCTGCTAAAGGTTTAAAATAGTTGTTTGGCTTTGTATCTTAAATAGCCATCTATTATGCCAATTAGTACGTGTAAGTTGCATATGTTTTAAATCTCAATTTGTCCTACAAGCCACTTGACTTCATCCACCGTACCCATCTATCTTGAAGTTCAATTCAAATTACAACCAAAATCTTATTCGCCGACTCGTTCCACCGTGTCAGAGTTTCAATGTCAATGCTGTGCCGAGTTAAGGATGAGGCCGCCGAGGTTCAGTGCCATGGATAGCAGAAGCCCAACCTTTTTTTCATTGCGGATCGACAAGAGTTCGCCAAAGAAGGCGGAAGTTTAATCAAGTCAGAATCCATTGCCCAATATAATAATTGTTTCTATTAATACGTGTGCTGATTCAGTTTTGGGTAACCGAGAGCTCATCACACAACAATGTGTGATGTGGGTAGGCCCGCAGAAAGTGCCAATCAAAGTGGCCCGCGAAACAGGTTGACCCCCACGCAAGAGGACGTAGCCGGATCCGGAGTTCGAGTTCTTACAAGTGGCGTCGAGTTGATCCACACGTAGCTAGAGTTTGCCAAGGGGATTAGCTGCTGAAGATTATCGCTTGTGTGCAATCTTTGCCGTCAGTCCAATGCCGGAGGTCAGTCCATCCATTGACCCACGAGGCAAACCGCATTACGATTTGGCCCTAATACCACGCACCCATCGAACGTTCTCTGATTGATTTTCGGTCATCTAATGGGGGGCCCAAAAGCCATATGCTTCTATTCAGGTGCCGGGGGTGTTGTGCAACCAAAAAAAAAAAACAATGACAGACAATCGCCGTAACAAAAGGCAAATTTTTCGGTAGCCACATCGTTTGTTGCCTTGACTGGCAGTGGGAACAATTTTTATGACCACTGGGGCCGCAGATAAATCACAGGACCCATGCTCCCAGCGCCCACAAAATGCTATGTTTAGTCACGAGATTTTATTTGCTCTGTTATCGTGTGTGTGTCGGTACACTTTAAACTTTATTTTAATAATAATTTTATAACTGAGATTAGAACTAAGGACTAAGAACTGTAAGGACTAAGAATAATGAAGACTCTTGTTTTATCTAATTATCAGAAGTTTAAGAATAGATGTGCCATGAATTTCCTTTAAATTCTTCTTTCAATTACTACCTATTTTTTAAATATATTTCCCAGTCTCCAGGTTTTTCTCCAGTGTAAGTGTGCCACATCAATCATCGCTTCCAGTCCGCCTGCCCCTGATTGAGCACCACTGCCATCAGAATGCAGCATCTTCGCCACCGCCGTTCTGTTTCAAGTTTAATTGCTTCGCATACGTTTTAATTATGCCGAGTACTGACTGATGAGAGCCACAATCCAAGTTCCAAGTTCCGAGCTACGAGCTACGAGCTCTGAGCTCCACTGAATGGGGCACTCGCAGCCAACTAATTTGGCAATTTGGCCAACTGCACGAGTGGGCCACAATCGGTCTGGTTGGGGCTCTGTGTGAGTGTAATTACTTTATGGAGTGCAGTGTGAATGCGTCTTTTATGACAGCCATTGAAGTGCAGAGTGCGATCGCGATCGAGTCCATTGCTCAAAATGCCAGAGTTGAAGATGGAGGATGAACGGAGCTGAGGAGGAGATTCCCAAGACGCAACCTTCGCGTGCCTCCGACGAATGACAAACTATTGTGGTTTGATGGAATGTTATCAGAAAATAGTCAACTCTTTTTAAAAATTTGTTAAGGAAGTTGACAATAATCTACCATTTCCTTAAAATAGATTACTTTATCCAAAGAAATGATTTACTTTCATGATTAAAGATTCTTTAATGGTTTTGTTGTTACAATGGCAATGAGAAGTTATAATGAATAAATCAAATTAAGAACCCTATCACTCAGCACCCAAGTCATTCGTCACTTCCTTGTGTACGCCCCTATTAAAACAAGTCCACTCCCAGCTTACTCACATCCCAATCTTGGTGATTCGACTCACTCCAAATCGGTTTTGTGGTTCAAAATGTCAAAGTTTGGCAATTTGTGAGTCTCTGTGAGTCAATCGACTTTTACTCCGATTCTGGCAAGAGGCAGTGACCTTCGTGTTAAGCGAAAAATGCAGCTAGCGTGCGAAGAACGCTGAGCCATCAAAAATCACTCTCGAAAGATCATCTCAAAGCAGAGTGCCTCGATGTTTCAAAGTGCGGCGCAATTTACATCAAAAGATGCCTTAATTGATTCTCTGCGCCGGACCCACAGTTCCGTCCAACATGGGGGGGCATTGCAACAGAAATTATCATAGTTTAATTTAAATTATATGTTTGGCGCTCCAACACTCGTCGTCGTCGTCGTTGTCGGTCGGCATTCTAGGTTACAAAACAAACACAGATACAGATCTCAAGATACAGATACAGATTTCGGATACGGATTCAGATTCGGAATCGGATAGTTGTAAGTATTTCAAGGTCCACCCCTCTCGAAGCTGTAGAGCAGCCATCAAGAAATTACAAATCGTCATTGTCTTCTTCGACTTGGCGCATCATCACCTGGCTGGGTGCCATTAGCTTCCCTCTCTATCGCTCGAATATCGCCCATCTCTCTCGTACACTCATCCTCCTCACTCTGTCTGGCACGTTCAATGTAAATTAGCCGATGCAGGAAATTAAATGATTTTTTAATGTGCTGGAAAAATGATTACAAACGTAAAAAAAAAAAAGGCAAAAAGGCAGCCAAAAGATGCTGAAAACCAAAAACAGATTTCAAGTTGTTTATGGAGTGCTATTGAATATGAATTTCAGTTTTGTTTTCGAGAAGGGAGTGGAGTGGAGCAAGGAATGCGGCAAATATGAAGTTTTATTTAATTGTTTTGTTTACAATTCAAGATTCACATACAAAACTCCATGGGTATTAGCCATGGAGTTTACCTCACTCTGTTATAGTTTTTTTTTTTTTTTTTGTATGTTTATTTTAATTTTTTCGCGCATTCGCATATTTGCAAACATAATAATAGTTCGAAATGATCTTGGTAATTACAGAGGTTTTTGGAGTTTATTCTCTAATTTATTTTTATTGTGGTCTGTGGCAAGGTCGGGGTATTACTTGCAGAAACACTACACACGGAATTCGCTGGGAGGAAGCTTTTCAAGCCTTCCGCCCCATCCCTGCTCCATTACTCGATCCCTACTCCATTAATTCCCAGCTCATTTGGGGCGGGGCATCGCTTGGCCTTTGAATTTACAACTCATAAACTTGGCATTATCGAATGTGAAAGTCAGCTCGTGCCAAATCGCATAATGAACACCGACCGCAACCGTTATAAACAAAATACCTGCCACAGAAAAAAATGCAACATTCATTTGCTATGGATTCAATTCGATTGGATTCGATCAATGCGCCAAAAGACAATTGTCCAAAGAAATATTTGCAGATCGTGATGGAAGCTACGCCCACTGTTTCAATGAAAAATATGGCAATAAAAATATTGAAATACTTTTCCCCCGTTGTCAAGTATTGTCTTTGAGTATTTTTCAAGAGTTCAAGTTTTCTTTGTGTTATGCAATCGACTTTTTAATGGGATAAGCAAATATTCAAAACTATTAAATAATAGCGGCTGATATATTGTTACAGGAAATAAATAAACTGGGTTTTATTTTAAAATATTTATTTTATTTAATAAGTGGCAAGTATTTTTAAGAGAAAAGACTTTAATAGAGGTATAAATGAATATTAAATAATTATTGTTAAGACTATTAACAAGACAAGAATGTAATTTTAATAAAAGAAATTATGATTATCCCGAAATTCTTTCTAAAATAGCCATTTTGCAATTATTTGGTATCTTCAGCAAGTTTGTTGCCTAAGTCTTTTGTTCAAAGCCTTCAAACAAAAAAAATGTTAAATATTTAAGCTAAAATATTTCAAAAATTACTTTTCTTTTTAGATATAGAATCTAAGCTTCAGCTTAATTTTAAACATTTAATCGCATCTTTTTCCCACTTAGATAACCCATCTGAGAATTTGCTTTGAATTGCTATTTCGACCACAATGCCTGAATCTCAATTGCAGCTTATCCGACCTGAATCCATGTCAGCGCCAATCAAAACGGCTGCATCTGTGAACTCTGGGGCATAATCCAGCTCATTAGGTGGGCCCCCAGAAAATCCGAAACAAAAAATCCGAACAAAACCAAACACCAAAACTCCCACGCACTAAAGGGGAAACTATTTGCTTCTACTACTACTGTTGGTGTGCCTGGAGAATTACCCAAAAAGCATTCCGAACAAATTCGTAAATTTGGGGTCTTCAGCAAGTTCGTTGCCTGAGTCTTTTGTTTTTCGTGGCTGCCGCAAGACTGAAGCCTGTGATCCGAGATGAAGATGCGTGGAGCAGCTGCCGCCGCTCACTTCGCTGCTGCCACTGCCACTGCCTCTGTCTCTGCCGGCGTCGCCGTCCGCTGCATGACTAATTCCATTACAAATAAGTGTTTCTGCTATTACACGACACAACAACCAAACAACAAATGTTTATGGCTTGCAGCCGCAGGAGCCCTGTACTCCCTCGTCTCATTTGTTTGGATGTCTCCGAATCTCGGCTCATCTCCGCTCAGTTCCCGACCAGAGACGAAGCCAGCTCGTCAAAATGTTTGGCGCTTTAATTTCAAAGTAACTAGTTTACTATAACAAACCGCCCCCACTCCCCTCCTTCCAGTTCCTCGCAGCTCGGCCCGGAGAGTAGTCTGCTCTTTGCATTATTTTGTAATGTTCAAGCTCTGGCACTCTTTTTTTTTTTTTCGCCTGCCCGAAAATTGAAATAACGAAAAAAAAAATACAGATTTTGGCGCGCAATTTTTGAAGCTGACTGCGACGCGGCAGCGTTAGCGTTAGCGGGCGCTCATTTCAAATATAAATACTGGCCTACGAAATTGTTTCAGTATCACAATCAAGTCAACCATCTTCGCAAGAAGAACTCAGCCACCAGAGCAAACTTAAAAAACCGTTTTCGTGTGTGCCAAATCCCAAACAAGTGACAACACAAAATGAAGGTATATCCCACGATTAAGAACTGAAAAGTGTTAAGTGGCGTGCTGTGTTAAGCCAAGGGTCCTTAGCAAAGGATAACAGTTGAGAGTCAACAAAAGGAGGAGAATAAATTCAGGAGTACTTCAGAATAAAAAGGATATTCAACTCTCAGAAGAAGAACGCTTTCAATCAAATATATTGAGTCAAAAAGTCATTTTTCAAATTCCTTTAACTTCCTTTATTTTTTTCCCACCATTGAGCTAAAATTAGTTCCTCTATTTTCAAAATTCGATCGAAAAGTGCCAAAAACATGTGCTAATCCCGCCTTAATCAAAATTCTTTGAATAGCCCTCATTTAAACCCGGCTTTTGGCATCGATCGATCAATCAATTAAACAACTTATCAAGCTAATGAAGCCTTGATTGTCCAGCTAATCGGAAAGAGAAGAGATGAAAGATGGAAACTTCAAACCATATTTAAAGTCAAGTTCAGCAGGGCGATTAATCAAGCGGGGATCTTCGCATATTAAGTATCATAAGTTGCCATCATCACGCCTCAGATCGCCGACAATTTGTCAGTGAGCTACTGTTTTCGTTATTTTTTTCGGTTTTTTGATAGAGAGATTGCGGAATTAGAACTCAACACGGCTAGTTTTGGGGGCCTGGGAAACAATTGCAGCCAGAGATCCCATTACTTTTTAATGCTCGTTCTAGGGAGTGGGTAACTGCGAAGAAACAGAAGCACAGGCACAAGCGGCAGCTGCTGCTTGGGGTCATTTTGCAATGCATAAATTAGACAAAAGTTTTAAGTGGCGGAAGAAGAACAACTGGACATGCCCAAGTACGGTAGTCGAGAGATGACCAGGCGGCGATAAAAAAACAAATAGGCAGACAGACAATAGCGGCGCGACTTTAGCACAAAATAAAAAAAAATAAAATTCATTACAAAGCGTAGCACTTTAACGCCAATGAAGCATGAAAGTCATTGACGGCCCTGTACTGCATCTTTTGCAAAAGATTCGGAAATGTGCTGTTGTGCAAGCCAGAAAAAGAAAAGGCAAAAGATGTTCTCCCACAGGTTGATTGCGCTCCACGGCGTATACTTAACATTCAGACGCATTGCACAACGACCCAGAGATCGGGCAGCCCTTCACTTGCATATTAGCCAAAGTCGATCTGCGACCCAATTACCACAGATTTGCATATGCCTCGGCTAAATGCCTTTAAGATGAGAAACAAAAAGCTGATTCTGGGCTGGCTCAAGCCCAAACAAAACTATTGTCAAGTGGATCCCAGCAGCACGATTATCCCAGTGGCTATGATTATGAGAGTTTAATGAGCTAAACCAGCCAAACAGTAGCTTAACAAGAGTACGGATATGCACAACGGTTCACATGGGAAATTTTCAATCATGGAATCAGCCATGGGATATTTCGGTCATAGAATTGGGGTTTCCCCATCGCGGTTCTGTGTCGGTTCCGAGAAAGAGTCCTGCTGAGATCGATAGGCCATTTGGTGGATCTTAAAGCCATATAGCCTGAAATAAATATGGTTCATCAAAACTGATCAGCTTTTCTTATTAGCATACCTCGGCACAAATTTCTGCTTGCCCCGTTTGGGTCGTGCCTCCGGATTAACCATAAAGAGCATATGCGGAAAGCCAGTGCCAAAGTATGCCCCGTCTAGATTTGAGTGGCGCGCCGCCTTGGGCAAGTACACATCGTTGCACTTGGGGCAGTATAGGCGGACCATCTCCTCGCCAGGATTGTCGCTTAGGCCGATTGGCAGCACCGGCTGTCGCTGGCAGAACAGCCGAGGACACGTTCCAAATGCCTCTTTATAGTACTTTTCCAGCATCAACTCAATGCCCCGATTGGTGAGGATGAAACGGGCGTGAATCAAACCGTAGAGTTTTTCGGCGCTGGCCTCCAGTTCCGGTTCCGGTGGCTGATCTGAAGCCGAGCCGGAGTTAAGATCTAGGATCACTTCCAAAGCACAGCGATAGTTGGTCACGTTTGAATCGAGAAAATTTAGATTGAATTTGTCGTGAATATAGTCCTCTTCAACTTCGCAGAAGAACTCGTTGCCACGCTGCTTGCAAAACCAATGTATCCAGGCGGTGTCGTCCGAGTCAGTCATGGCTGCAATGTCCAGTAAAACGTTCCTTTAAATGTTTCCTAACTAATAATTTCACTTAGAAATACGTTGAATTTCGAATACAATATGAGTTTATGGGAGATGTTTTGGGGAAGAGCTGCTGGGATATTTCAGAACTTGTAAAATAATGCCTGCTATCTTTTAAAACTTTCTCAGTGCTTTACATCGATCGCATTGCTCGTCTGCCTGGCTGCCTGGACCCATGCGGAACCGCCAGTACCCCAGAACCAGTACCTGCCCCCCAACCAGTCGCCCCAGGCGCCGTCTAACAACTATCTGCCGCCCACTCAGGGCTTCCAGTCGCCCTCGAACAACTACCTGCCGCCCCAGCGCACCGGAGGCAATGGCGGAGCGCCCAGCAACAGCTACGGAGCTCCCATTGCTCCTCCCCAGAGCCAGTACGGTGCCCCGGCGCTGACAGGTGCCATCTTCAAGGGACAGCAGGGCGGCAACGGCGGCTATGGCGGCGGCAATGGCAACGGCTACGGACAGCAGCGCGATGAGGAGCAGTACGGACCGGCCAAGTACGAATTCAAATACGACGTCCAGGATTACGAATCGGGCAACGACTTCGGACACATGGAGTCCCGCGACGGTGACCTGGCTGTTGGCCGCTACTACGTTCTGCTGCCCGATGGCCGCAAACAGATCGTTGAGTACGAGGCTGACCAGAACGGATACCGCCCAACCATCCGCTACGAGCAGGTGGGCAACGGAAACGGAAACGGCAACGGACGCAATGGCGGCGGCTATGACAGCAACGCGCAGCAGGGCAAGTTCAACGGCTACTAGAGGAGCGACGGTAAAGTGGATGCCGATTTAGGTCGAACCCGTAACTATATGCTCGTCTTTGTGGGATCGCTGGCCGAGTATTAAAACCAGAGAGCCAGCGACCGCAGTCAATCCCTCCTGTCACTGTCTCTATCCCTCTTTATCGTTATGTTTCTGTCATTTAGTGGGACAGCCGCCATTTTGCCATAGACAGGCGCGTTCCTTTCCGTTTCCGTTTCTGTTTCAGTTGTGTCCTGAACCTTCCATCTCTATGCCTGGAACTATTGCCGTTTTGTTTTGTTTAAGCGCCTTCATTTTGTGTTAGTCCACGCACACACACAAACACACAACTCACTCACACACACGTGACCATTACGCATTCATACATACATGCATAAGGATTGTATTTAGTTTTTAAATGAAAACGGAAATTCGAAAGTGAAACGAACATATGAGATTTTTGTGTATATTTAATAATTATTAAATGAATAAAGAAGCATTTTTGTATAAAACAAAGTCAAAAAAGAAAACACAAACGGTTTTTTACTTCAGGACTCTCTCCAGTTGTCCTTGGTTGTTGTTTCTATAAACAGGATCCTTGAGCTGACCCACGGTTGAATAACTCAGCTGGGCAGTAAAGTCCTCGTCATTTCCTATTTGCTGTGAGCTAAATGTAACTCTTTGCAGTTTATTATCCTTCGAGATAATAAAGTAACGACCTTCTCTGATATTTGATGGCTGGGCTTCGTCAGACTCATTGGATGTGGATGGTTCTTCGGGATAAATGATTCTGAAGCCTGAATCAGGAGGACCGTACTGGTTAGCTGGAAGGGCAACGGGTAGGATTGGATCCTCTGAATCATCCGGTTTTTCCGGGGGCAGATATTTCGACTGGGGCTTATCCACTGGTGTCACTTGTTCCACTCGTTGTTTGGTTATTTCAACACGCACATTAGAACGGCTAGGAGGGAAAAACTCGTTTGGTAAATTAAAAGGAATGCTTGGTTGCCAGCCAGCTGGGGCATAAGGAGCAACACGTCGAGTTGGTGGTTCAGGAGCACCTTTAACGATGGCCGCAACCGCAAACATTAACAAAGCCTTAAAAAAAATTATTTTTAAACTTTTTCAAAACTTATGTCACTCGAATTGATACCTTTGCCAGCATTTTGACGAACGGCGTATTTGAAACTGCAGTCAAAAGATTGGGGCGTGCACTGTTTTATATTGAATCGTCAAATCCATATCACTCTTTACAATGCCGGGCACGCACCTTGTTCGTCTGACATACATTGGACTGGATCTGTTCCATCTCAGGCTACATAGTCACGTATCCAGCCGACAAAAAAGAATTGAGCTTGCACAAACCTTGACAAGTAAAAATTGGCAAAGATTCAAGTTAAAGCTCAGTGTCCCAACATTTGAATAGTACGGAAAGTCTTTTAGCTTAAGTGTAAATTAAAATCGAAAGTGAAAGATTTAAGGTTTTTTTCACGTAAATAATTAATATGTATAATATCAAATTTAAAATCTTTGAAAAAGGATCGTTTTATTCAGAGTGACCATGTGACTATGAAAAATACTAAAACTTATGGTATTTTTTGACGATTAACCAATTTCTTTTAAATTATTAATAATTTGCTACATAAACGTATAAATAATATTAAATTAGATAAAACTACTTAATCAAAAGTGTAAATATTTATTTTTATGTTTTTGTAGAATCCCCGATACGACAATACACAAATTATCGATATATCGATATGCCAGATGTCACTGTATTGTCATCGCCAGCTGCAATGGAATTCGTTGAAAAAAACTAAAACTTACCAAAAGATTTATTTATTTACTTAAAATTGGATATTTAGAATGTTGAAGTGTTGAATATTTATTTTCCCAGTGCGGGTTATCAAGTCAAATGTGTTTGCCATGCGCGGCGGTAACTTTTCAGCGAAATATCTGTGAAGAAAACACATAAACACGGGACCTTTTGGCCCAGGCGATCAAATCGAAACGACGATAAAACGGATCAAAGGATTACTGGTAAGATATGAAAACCCTTACGCAATAAATTACTTTATTTAATTAGTTTTTATACTTTCAGGCATGCGATAAACGACTGATTATGAGGCAGTGGTCGAGGAGTTCGCAGGAAACTATAAAACATGTGGCCCAGCTGCAGCTTCCGTGCTACGCTGCTCGCCCTGGCTGCTCTAGCATCCACGACGAGCAGCCAACAAGTTCCTTTGGCCTTGGCCGCCAATGTAAACTCAAATTCAAACCTAAACATCACTAGCAACGCCAACAAAGTGCCTACAGATGGGGGTGGAGATTTGGTGGCTGGCTATATGCCACTCCAATCGCCCGCGAGCATATACTTCGTCAATCACAACCACCAAAATGCAATGCAGCTGCGTCATAGCATAGAAGGCAAGCTGCGGACTATTCGCAATGTAGAAATGCGAGTGGCCAAGATCCAGGTAAGTCGGTTCTAAAGAGAATCCTATGGATGCAAACTCATTCCCCTTTTTTATTAGGAAATCTTCGACTCCATTCACTATACCAGCGCCAATGGAGTAGCACCTGCGTCGCGGCAATCGCAAAGCAACGACAGTTGGCAAGCCAATCCGCAACTGCAGAGGGATTTGCAGATGTTTAGCGCGAGATTGGGAAAGAAACTGCAAAAGGCCACTCACGTGGTGCTGGAACTACGAGAGCTCTTTCGTTACAACCTCAGCAGGGTGCTCCAGTACACGTACGAGGATGAAGACGAGGATATGGAGAGCGAGCTTGAATTGGATATGGAAATGGATGATCTGCACGGCAGGAATACTGTATCGCCTGCTAAGGATCACACGCAGGTTTATCTAAACACTCAGATAGAAAACTGCCAGCCTGACTATGACAATGAGATGAACTCTGCTTCCTCCTCGTCACCGGCCCAATCTGTTCACTACAACAAGCAACAAATCCAGATCCTAAACTACCTTAAATCGGATGATGCGCGCGCCACGTTCCTGAATGAGAATAACGCTCGTTCCTTGGCTGTCAACGGCTACATCTCGGATCAGCTCCTGCAAATCAAACGAAGACTAAGTCAGAACGAAGCCGATAACTCGAATACCAAGCCCAACAGCGGCAATCATTTCAAACATATCTACTTTCTGTCGAACTCCGATGGAGCCCCTGCTGGTCTCCACTTTCGGCAGCTCTATGTGTCGGCAATTAAACAGAAGTTTGTGCTCTTTCTTATCGATGTGGGGTCGGCTTTAAATGCAGACCTATTGGAACTCACTAAGAGCTTTGGTAAATAGATTTCTTGAGTTTCCTTTTTTTCCATTAATACAATGTCCTATTTTTGTAGTTCACGAGATGCTTCAACTGCTGGAGGACACGGATAAAGTCTCAATAGTAACAGTTTCCAATGAGGGCAGCTACATGTCGCTCGATTCGTTCCCTGCCGAGGCCAGTCATGGTATTTACAGCGCCACCAGAGCTCACAAGGAGGAAATATACAGCTACGTTAACAGCCTAAGCCGGGCGCAGTCTCTTACCAACCACACCTTGGGATTCGAGTATGCCTTCGAATTACTCCATCGACTACAGCAGTCTGGTATGATTAACCCTGCCGACCAGCCAGTGGAATTTGTTTACGTGACGCGAGGTCTGCTCACCAACCTATCGGATGCCATGGCTGTCTTGCGGGTGGTTGCCGAAGGGCAGCAACGTCTAAAGGCTCCTGTGATCATAAACACCTGCGCGGTGGTTTTGGACGAAAAGAGAATTATGTACGAGAAGCAATTTCTTAGCGATGTGGCCACTCAAAACTACACCAAGTACGAGATTGATGTGACTAGTTGGTGGCCTACTGGACAGCCTACATCTCACTTGGCCGGGCGATTCTATGTGCTGAGTAAAACCCACGCTGAAACGGGCATCCCACAAACCAGCTCGCGAATCTTTGGGCAGCTGTTTGCAGAGCGATATTTGACCGATACGCTGGAAGTGCACCCTCCAGTGGTGGATGCCGATAGTGGAGGTAAGTCAGCCCTTAGGGAAACTGTGTTTCTTATTAAAATTTCAATTCTGGCTCATTCTAGATGTTCTGGTGTCTATTACACATGCCATTCCTCCTTACGGCGTTGTGGGCGTCAACTTGTACCTGGCTGATCTTCTCGAGGATCTGCTCAACTATCCCAGTCCTGCCTCTAGTGCCAAACAGGGCAGTGGATATGCCTTCTTGCTGGATAGATCAACGGGCAATACCATCGCCCATCCGGCCTTCCCGCGGCCCCTCATCCAGCGAGAGACCTCTTATCCTGTGAATATTGCCTATCTTGAGAACGCGACGGATTTTTCCAGCCTTATTCGGGAGCGCCTGCTGCACGAGGAAAGCGGCAATGCCACCACAGATGTTTATGTGGGGAAGCAACGACTGCAACGCACCTACCATTGGCAATCTGTTCTGGGCTTTTACGTGCTGTGCCTGGTGAGCAGTGGAGGCGATTACCTTCGTAATGCTTCTGCCGCCCAGCGCTACAACCTAAAAGATACAATTTCCAACTATGAGCCTGGATACTTTGGCGAGAGCATGGACCTATTGTATCACCGATTGGATCTCGTCCAAGGTGGCAATACATTGCCAAAAACATGTCGTTATTTCAGACAAATGGCAACTATGGGTGGGTATTTCCTTTAGGCTTATATGAACACCAATTAGAAACATATCCTTTGCTTTCCAGATGCACCTACTCTATTTCTGAGTGCTGCAGCGTTTGAGTCTCCTTTTGGATTTCTGCACAACAACCGTCCCCGCACGCAACTCCGACATGTGGAATCCATTATGGCCTACCTGAGAGATTCTAGTGGCTTACTGGCGAATCCTGGCCTGCGTCCCGGCATTCGATATGAAGTGAATATGCTTTACCAGGCCATGCAGCAGCTGCGACGAAGACATCAAGATGCCAGGGGTTCTCTGCGAGGGCACATCATTCGGCGTTATATGGCCAGTGTTAGTGGAGTTCTTCAGCTGTATCCTGGTTGTTTGCTCAGTAGTAGCTATGATCCCACCAGACGACCGTGGTTCCGGCAAGCGATGGCCCAGCCGGGAAAGATCGTGAGCACCGCTCCCTACTTAGATGCTGGAGGTGCAGGCTATATCATAACCATAGCGCACACCATTTTTGAGGGAAAGTCCCACGCACTGCACGTAGCACAGCAGGATAGACCGATCGGCGTGGTGGCCCTGGACGTGCCCTATGCTTTCTACTACCGTCTCATAATAGAGGGAACACCCATGTGCCAGCAGCCGCACATGAAGTGTCTTCTATTCGAGCACGAGGGCTACTTGCTGGCTCACCCGAGCATGATGCAACCAGCTACTCCGACGCGTAACCAGAGACGGCCCCACGAGCATCTCACGCACAAGGAGTCCTACTTGGCCAACGACATGCTCAATCACGGGCAGTTGGTGAGGAAGCTGGGCTGTGCCAGCTACCAGAATCGAACTTTACAGCGATACTACGCGTTCAACACCTCCCTGGCCACCATCCTCGGAAATGTGGTCCACGGGGAACGAACCAAGTACGCCATTGCCCTGATCCGGGGAAGCAATGTGTTTGCCGCTGTTCTGAATTCCAGCTGTGATGGTGGCGCCTTCTGTCCGTGCAGTACCATCGATCGGGAGTGCCTCAACTGTAAGCGGATGGACCAAACGGACTGCGAATGCCCCTGCGAGTGTCCACTGGTCGGGGACAGCAGCTCAACTTCGTCCTTTAACTACTATGCCAACTATACACAACAGTTCCCATATTGCCCGCCACCGAGTGAGCACTTTATAGCTCTACCACCGACAACCCAACTGCTCAGTGGCCTCCCCAGTTGTCCCGGAAGCGCTGGCATCTGTGAGACTTATTCCACGCACCGTGAGTGTCTCGGAGTGATGGGCTGCGAATGGTGTCAACAGGATATGGACGGAAACGGCTTCTCCACGGCCTTCTGTGCGTCGCAGGCTAGCTGCTTTAACGGAGTGCTGGCCTCTCTGACGCCCTACGGAGAGCTGGACGAACTGGAGCTACTGGCCGCCCACAATCCGCAACGAGAGCAACACGCATACTCTGCCTTCGGGCCGCTGGGCGGAGCTATTGTGGTTCTGGGCATGGTGATAGGATTTGCCATATATTGCTACAGACACAACCTGGACTCCCAGGCGCAGGAACAGTTCTACGTGGATTCCGTTCAGGAAGAAAACTACGGACTGCCCTTATCCAGGTTCAATTTTGACGACTGCAAGGCGCACGACGAACCGCCTCTGGGTGGTGGATACGACCACACGGCAGCCCAACGCCAGCTTATGAATGCAGCGGACATATCGCCGTACCACGTGTCCAGTGGAAGTAGCTACCGGCGGCCGCCCAACGGAGAGTCGGATCATGGCTACAGCACCATGACGCCGCATGAGGATAGCTCCGACCAGCAGTGCTTCACGCTGGCGGAACCGTTGCTCCTGCACGACAAGCGCCACAGCAAATCGGACACCATGTCCATATCCACGTCCATATCGAGTCCCACGAATCGACAGCAGTCCTCCACACAGCCAAATACGCATCCGTACTTGAGCAATCAGCCGACCTCCAAGACGGAGCGCTACAAGCAACAGCAGGTGCAAGCCACACCCTCACCATGCCGGGGACCGCCCGGCTCCGGAGGTGGAGGCGGGGTCTACGGGCAGACCACTCTGCCTTTGGAGGGAGAGGAGTCGCGGCACTACATCCTGGCACCAGTGACTGTCCACCGGCACATGGAAACGTCTGAATCGTAGTCGTAAATAGCGTTGTTAAGTTTTAGAGCGTAAGGAGTCCGCTTGTTTGCCAATCTAGTTTCGTAAGATTCCAATCGGGCAGTTCAACTGCCCAACAACTGTCCAGAAATACCAAGAATGGACTCCAGTTCCGGCCCCACTGTATCTTTTAGAGCCTCCCACAGAAGGAGTGTAATACCAACACCAACTATTAAGTGATGACATTGTTTCTGCCATTTTTTGATCGATGTATTGTATTGTAATTTATTGTAATTTATTGCAACAAGTATTACTATATTATGTGCAGCTACTTCCAATATTTTTAAAACATTTATTTAATAAGCACTAAACGAAATGTACTTACTGTCTGATTGTAAGATACCTACCATGTCGTATACCGTTTTTTGTAATAGGTCCTAAGTCGATAAAGTTACTAACTACCGATTTTAGTACTACACAACATACCTATATAATAGCATTGTACGTTTCAAATAAAAAATGTTTAAATTTTGCAAAAGCCCAAGATCTTCACCTTGATCCAGAGCGGCGGGATCGAACCGATTGACTTGCCAACTTCTTTTCCTCCTCCTCCGATCAGCTGGCCGAGTGTTAATGAATTTATTTTTACACCCATACAGTTTATAGGCAAGGTAGACGCTGCTCAATGGGCTTTTTCTCGTCGGACTTGGCTAAAACCCGCTAATTTAAAAATAACAATTTCTCGCCAGGGGTTGTCAGGTTTTTCGTGGGCACAGCTATATATTTATTCCATCATATAGCTGAGATTTTAAGATCGTGGTGCTCTGATATATCAGAAATGTTTCCCGATTCGTAACCGCTTGGTAGCCGATTAGGAAAATATAACTCGACAACCCGGGTCGAGATCTGCTAGCTCTCGCCTTTCCATTGCATATATTGCATTTGATTTTCTGGTCTGGCGTACTACGAACGTTGTTTGGGTCCCCATCTCTCAGCCCAACAACACTAACCGATCTTCACTTCGGCTTCACTTCAGGTCTATCTGCACTCCACTTCCTTTGCTCCCCCGGCTCTTTAAAGTGAGTATCTTGAAGTGAGTTTTCAAAAGTTTTCGAACTTTTGTTTTCGAAATGATTCTCGGAGCAGCGAGGCAATGTGCTGAAAACACTCTATTACGCAATCCATAAAAAGTGTTTAGCGAATTCTGAAAAAAAACAATAGTTATGTAAAAAATAATTGCAACAAAATATATGCTTATTAAAATTTTAAAAAATATTTGAGTTTAGGAATGAAAATATTTTAATTCATAAATGAAGCTAAAAGATTTTTTACTGAAAAGCTTATGCTTTTTATATGAACTTTGATTGTAATCTATATATATTATACTTTAATTACCTTAGTTTATTATTCAATCTTGATAAGATCTGGTAAAGATTCGTCTATAAAAACGAAAAATAACTAATATTTAATAAATTTCCAATATTTTAATAATTTATATTTTTTTTACAAGATCTTTTAATGATATTAAAGAGGAAACCCCCTATTTGAAACTTATAATTATGCATATTTATTGTTGCTTTTGAATTTCTGTTTTTTTTTTTGGAATCATATCGTTACATCATGACCTTAACCTTTAAAAACATTTTTTGTAATTCTTTTTTTTTTAATTTCCTCTAAATTTAGAATCTCTTCTAGGCACCATGTTCAAATCTCTGTTTGATGCCGCGCAGAACTCAACGTTCAAGTCGCCATTCACCAGCGTCAACTGCCAGGCTGCCACGCCTGCCGCAGCTCCCGCCCCATCTGCCGTGGCTACCCCATCCTTCAACGATGTGTCCACCCGCAACCTGACCCCCAACCACAACATTGCCGCCGCCGCAGCAGTTGCTCAGGGAGGTAAGCTTAAAAAATTATTTCTTATTTAAAAAATATAAAAGTTTTCTTATTTTTAAAATAATAATTCTATAAAAATTACCATTATCTTCTCCAGATTCCTGTGAGTTCGGCTCGAACAAATACTTCCTCCTCTGCGGCTTAGGTGGTATCATCTCCTGCGGCTCCACACACACCATGGTGGTGCCCCTCGATCTGGTCAAGTGCCGTCTGCAGGTGGACCCGGCCAAGTACAAGAGCGTGTTCAACGGCTTCCGTATCAGCTTGGCGGATGAGGGCGTCAAGGGTCTCGCCAAGGGCTGGGCACCCACTTTCATCGGCTACTCGATGCAGGGTCTGTGCAAGTTCGGCCTGTACGAGGTGTTCAAGGTAATGTACGCGGACGCCATCGGCGAGGAGAACGCCTTCCTGTACAGAACCGGACTGTACCTGGCCGCCTCGGCCTCCGCCGAGTTCTTCGCTGATATCGCCCTGGCTCCCATGGAGGCCGCCAAGGTGAAGATCCAGACCACACCCGGATTCGCCAACACACTCCGCGAGGCTCTGCCCAAGATGACCGCCCAGGAGGGTATCTCTGCCTTCTACAAGGGCCTGGTGCCCTTGTGGATGCGACAGATCCCGTACACCATGATGAAGTTCGCCTGCTTCGAGCGCACGCTGGAGCTGCTCTACAAGTACGTGGTGCCCAAGCCTCGTGCCGATTGCACCAAGGGCGAGCAGCTGGTGGTGACCTTCGCTGCCGGTTACATTGCTGGTGTGTTCTGCGCCATTGTCTCGCATCCTGCCGACACTGTCGTCTCCAAGCTCAACCAGGCTAAGGGTGCCTCCGCTTTGGATGTTGCCAAGCAGCTGGGATGGTCTGGTGCGTAGTTTCTACACAATTCACCATGGGTTCGTTTCTAAAATGCATATCTTTACAGGACTCTGGGGAGGATTGGTTCCTAGGATCGTGATGATCGGTACCCTCACTGCCGCCCAATGGTTCATCTACGATGCCGTGAAGGTTACTCTGCGCATGCCACGCCCACCACCACCAGAAATGCCCGAGTCCCTGAAGAAGAAGCTGGGCGTAACTGGCGAGCAGTAAACCCAATATAAGTTAATTGTTTTTAAATATAGAGCGAGCAGAATGTTAAAAGAATTAACCTGAATTTGTATAAATAAACCACACAGTAAATAAAAATTACACAAAAACAAAGTAGATTGTGAGAAATTGTATTTACTTACGCCGCAAATTCTATAGATTTTTAACTATCTAACAAAATAATTTTTAAATTAGGCGCCAAGGTGTGTTAATGCTTACCAACACTGGAATGCATAAACATCAGCTGTTCACTACGTGCCCCGTCTGATATCAACAAATAGCGGCAAGAGGAAGAGCTAACACGCGGTCCGCGGGCAGCTATTTTGTATTCAATTGAATTTAAATAAATAACTGAAAATGGTTCAAAATAAGCAAAAAACTGCAAAGCCGCCAAAGGCCATAAAAGCCAAAGTCAAGGAGACTGCAGCGCCCAAGGAGGAAAATTGGCAAAAGGTGAAAATCAAGGGCCACGTGATATCCGATGATTTTGGAGGCTACGAAGGATTAATTGGCCTGGAAGTGCTCAAAGACTACGATGCGACGCTGGTCAAGTCCTCCCAGAAGAGGGTCAGTTCCAGGGAACGAGCAAAAGACCTGAAGCAGAAGGCGAAAAAGCGGAAACAGTCCAAGGGGAAAGGAGACGATTCCAGCGAGAGTTCCAGCGAATCGGAGAGCGAGGATGAAGAGGTTACGGCAAAGTCTAGCAAAAAGGCTCGTTTGGCCGAAAGACATGCCAAGAAAATGCAGAAAGTTAAAGAGAAGAGGGAAAAGCGAAAGGAGTTACGGAAACAGAAAAAGGGAGAGCCCAAGGACGATGCCAACAACGACGATGACTCCGATGATGAGTATGCTCCAGATCGCTTTGCACTTCTCAGGCCACCACCCTCAGATGATGAAGATGAAGCTGCCCAGCAGGAAGATTCTGACGATGAGGAAGTCCCAGAGTTAGTTTCAATCTCTAATGGCAATGGGGTTGATGTTTCCGCCTGGAACGGGTTGGGGGTACCAGCTCCTATACTACGCGCCCTAGGCGAGCAAGGCTTCAGTGCTCCCACACAAATCCAAGCCCTTACCCTGCCCGCTGCTATCCATGGCAAAAAGGACATACTCGGAGCTGCTGAAACCGGCAGTGGTAAGACCCTGGCCTTTGGAATACCCATGCTGGCAGGGATTATGGAGCTAAAGCAGAGGAATGTGAAATCGGGCATACGAAAGGCGCCAAAAACAAAAGGCGAAAAGCCAGTGGTGGAACCTGCCGACGACGAACACGAGTTGACACCCCCACCCGAAGAATTGGACCACGTATCCGGAGCCAGTGACGAGGAAAGCGACATGGAGGAGCATAACCAGCGAATGCAGCGACCATTATACGGCCTTGTGCTGACACCTACCCGTGAGTTGGCCGTTCAGGTGAAGAATCATCTTGTGGCCGCCGCCAAGTATACGGGCATTCGTGTGGCAGCAATTTTCGGAGGTCTAGCGGTGGCCAAGCAGGAGCGAGTGCTCCGTCAGTGCCCGGAAATCGTTGTGGCCACTCCTGGCCGACTCTGGGAGCTGTACTGCCAGGGAAACCAGCATCTGAGCAAAATCGAAGATGCAAGCTTTCTGGTGATTGACGAAACGGATAGGATGGTGGAGAAGGGGCACTTTGAGGAGCTGAGGAGCCTGCTCAAGGTCCTCAACTCTGACGAGCAGAAGAAACAGCAGCGGCAGAACTTTGTCTACTCGGCCACCTTGACCCTAGTCCACGATCTTCCCGATCACATGCAAAGTAAGCTTTAAGGATAATGCTTGAAACTAAATAATTAATGTATCGTGTCCTTTTAGAGCGAAATGTGGGCAAGCGACCCAAATTTGTAAAGCAGACAGTGGACCAAAAGATCGAAAGCCTGATCGAGGAGCTGGGCATTTCCCAACCCAAGATTGTGGATATTACGAGTAGCCAGCGTAAGTTTTCTACCAAGAAATTATTCCAGAGATTCAAGGTCTGTTTTTTATTCTAGAGACCGCCCAGACCCTCACCGAAAGTCGTCTACTATGTCCACTGGATCAGAAGGATTACCACCTGTACTACTTCATACAGCGCCATCCAGGCCGTACCATCGTCTTTTGCAATTCCATCGATTGTGTTAAGCGCCTGGCCACTCTCTTCGGTCTGCTGGACTGCAATCCTCTGCCCCTACACGCCAACATGATCCAGAAGCAGCGCCTAAAGAACCTGGAAAGATTCCGAGACAGCCCCACTGGTCTGCTAATAGCCACCGATGTGGCAGCTCGGGGGTTGGACATACCCAATGTGGAGCATGTGATACACTATCAAGTGCCCCGCACCAGTGAGAACTACGTCCACAGATCGGGACGCACAGCTCGGGCCAACAAGCACGGCATAACAGTGATGTTTATGGAGCCAGGAGAAGTCAAGAGCTATGTTAAACTTTACAAAACTTTGGAGAGGAGTGAGTTTAAGACTATTTGGTTAAAAGATGTATTTATTTAAGATCCTTTTTCTAGCTGAGGATCTCCCGCTTTTCCCCATCTCGGAGCGCTTCCTGGGCGCTGTTAAGGAACGTGTCAACCTGGCCCGGGATCTGGATAAGGAGGAACTGAAGCTGAGACGCACTCAAAGCGAGCGTGGCTGGATGAAGAAGCATGCAGAGGAAATGGACATGATCATCGATGGTTACAATGATGAGTCGTTAGTATTTTGTAAATCAGACCACAATTCTCAACTAAAACTAATATTTGTATAATTAGTGGCAGCGATCAGGATGAGGATCCGTTTGTGATAGAACGGCGGCGCAATCGTCTGAGAGTGGAAACGGTTCGCGGTCAGCTACAGGCCCTGTTGGCCCAGCCAATCTTCCCCAGGGGATTCAGCTTCAAGTATCCCAGCAGCGACGCCGCCCAGGTGACCACCAGTCACACTACAAGTGCCGTGGAGACCATGAAGGCGGCTATTGAAGATCAGAAGCAGGCCAAAAAGGATCGAAACAAACGCAAGCGAAATGCCTAGGACAAGCTTAACACTATTTTAATGGATCTAATGTACATCGTAAGGAAAATAAAGCTACGAGTGGATTTTATCGTCAATGTTTGGAAACATAGTAACGAACACCTCCTTCAGTCAACGATCGGGCGTGTTTGGCCAGCAATGTGGAGACGGATAAAGTGGGAGTAGTAAAGCACCTAAGGGAAGCAAGGACTTTAGGAAACAAAGATATCGAAAAATATATATATGACTTACTCTATGTACGGCTCCATTTCACTTAATGTCCATTTCTGTTTCGCCTTGAAAAGCGACTTCATGCGGTCGTTGATATTGGTGGGCAGTTGCTCCTCGGCCAGCGATCGGATGCAGGGCTGAGCTCCCTCCTTGTCGCAGATTCCCAGGCCACGGAGGTATTTCAGGTCACAGACCATGCCCTCGGGCAGAGCCTCTTGCCAAGTTCGCATGAACTCCTCATTGCGGAACCGCAATCCTGGCTGCAAAATGTTTTGGGCCACAATCCTGGCCACCAATGACTCTTGGTATTGAAACTTGTCCGGACAACGTTCGCTGGGCACGGTGTAGATGTCAAAGAGCCCGGCTACAACTTCTTCTGGAGCGATACCATTCAGGGAGGTTATAGTTTCCTCCCTTTCGACCTCGTCCAAGGCCCAAGAATTTTCACTGATAAGTCCAAGCATTAAGTTAATGGTTCGGTACTCGTACTCGTATTCCATAACACGGATATGACCATCCAACTCCATGGCGCGATAAACGCGCAATCCTTCCATGAACTGTGCCCGGCTGCACTGCACCGTGTCCAGCAGCTGCGACATGCTGAAGAGCAGTTTCCTCTCGATACAGTACTCGTTCTCTGGGCCGGAATAGCGGGTCAACTGAAGTAGTTCACCTAGCTTCCGGAAACGGGGCTTAATCTCGCGGCACTCGAAATATTCATGGAACACTTTCAGCACGGGGCGCTGCTCCAGAGTACGAGGTACCTCCAGCTCATCCTCAGTGCTGTCATTCAAACTCCTCTCCAGGGAGGCGTTGGCGTTACCCGTTCTCGGACTCTTTAGCGGTGAGGTGCTGGTGGCAGCAGCAAACTTAAGATCTGGCACTAGTAGAAGACTGTTGGAGATCTCAGCTCCTTTGACGTCGTACGTGCGCTCGTCTGTGCAGAGCACTACCTTCTCGTTGAGGCCACCTTTGAAATGGAGGGTGTGGCCGTCTCGGATTTGCTCCAGCATGTGTGCGTCCAGCTCCAGGAGGCGCAGGTTTTCCGAGGCAACGTCCGCCGAAGGATAATACAGCGCCTGGGTGAGCTGGGTCAGTTGCCGCTCGTCCAACTTCGCATGCTTCACAATGGCCTTAACATCCTCTGGAGTACGCACGTACCTGGAAGAACTCTTATGCTTAGTACTAGAGAGACTAAAATTAAAGTTACTTACGATTGAGAATCATTTTCGTCGATCTCCATAGACTCCATTTGGTAGAAATAATATAAACAATTGGAAAGTAATTAGAGCGGGAAATAATTCGACGATCGATAGGTTTTTAGCAAGCTTATTGGTTATCGATAAGAATATCAGAAAATACCAACAAAATATACCGAAAATTAAGAAAGCTTTTTATGGATTTTTAAAAAACCCGATAACGGGCTGCTTGTTATTATTTAACGGCCAATGGTTGAAAAGCTTCGGGAGAACTCAGAACGTATCAGCGGATAATAATACCCGATTTCGTTCCCACATTGTTGTTTTCGTCGGCCGCCGTGCACTTTGCGCGCACTTTGCAAATCGTTGACTCTGGAAAGGTCGTTACGCGAGCTCCGACTCCCACTGAGTTCGGCCTGTGGAAAAATCAATTCAGTGGTGCGGCGGTGACGTCTCGTGGCCTGATAAGCGGAACATAAACAAAAATAACAAACAAGATGCCCGTGGGAACGTTCGATGCCTGGGATGCGGCTGTCCTTATCAGCATCCTGGTCGTGTCCGCACTGATTGGCATATATTACCGTTACACGGGCGGCAAACAGAAGACCACCCAGGAGTACCTGATGGCCGACCAGAGCATGACCACCTTTCCGGTGTCCTTTAGTCTGATGGCCAGTTTCATGTCCGCCATCACGCTGATGGGCGTCTCCAAGGAGTCGTACGAGTTTGGGACGATGTTCTGCGTGATAAACTTATCCTATTGGATTAGTACTCCCATCGCCGCCAACATATTCCTGCCGGTGTTCTACAAGATGCGAATCACCAGCGTGTACGAGTACCTGGAGCGACGCTTCGGCCAGGCGACCCGGCTGGCGGCGTCCCTGGCGTTCACCATTCAAATGATGCTCTACATGGGCATTGCCTTATACACCCCAGCGCTGGCACTGGAGGCAGTGACCGGCATTCCCCGGACAACGGCCATTGTGGTTATTGGACTGGTTTGCACCTTCTATTCTACTTTGGGCGGCCTGAAGGCGGTGCTCATCACGGACGTATTCCAATCGCTGCTCATGTTTGCCGCCATCTATGCTGTCATCTGTGTCTCCGCCATCAAAGCCGGTGGATTCGCGGCTATCTGGCAGGTGGCTGTGGAGAGGGGTCGTGTTGAGATCGATGACTTTTCCCTGGACCCCACGGTGAGGCACACCTGGTGGTCGCTCATAATTGGCGGCATGGTCACCTACCTCTCGCTCTATGGAGTCAACCAAACGCAAGTGCAGCGGCTCCTGAGTGTCCGGAATTTAAAGAGCGCCCAGTCGGCGCTGTGGTGGAATCTACCCATCTTGGGATTGTTGAGCTTCAGCACCATCTTCAGTGGATTGGCCATTTTCTACTACTACCGTGACTGTGATCCGCTGCTCGAGGGTCGCATCAAGTCGCGAGATCAAGTCATGCCTCTGTTTGCTGTGGACACCATGGGTGAGCTCAAGAGGGGATATTGTTGGGAACTTTTATCGCTGAACATTGTGTCTTTATTGCAGGTCAATACCCCGGATTGTGTGGCCTCTTTGTATCGGGAATCTTCTCAGCTAGTCTCTCCACCATTTCCTCAGCCGTCACCTCTCTTTCGGCTGTCACCCTGGAGGATTATCTGAAGCCACTGTACAAGGTTGTTTTCAGACGCAACCTTCTTGATTCCAAGTCGACTCTGCCCACCAAGGTGATGGCGTTCGTCTTTGGACTACTCTGCATCGGTCTGGCGTTCGGAGCCGGATACCTTGGCGGCGTTCTCCAGGCCTCCCTCATCATTTTTGGAGTGGTGGGAGGACCACTGCTGGCCATATTCACCCTAGGAGTCTGTACAACGCGGACAAATCAACGTGGCGTGCTTTTGGGATTCCTCATCTCGTTGATAGTCGCCTTTTGGGTGTCCTTCGGCGGGCCCAGGCCGCCCATGCAGTCGCACCTGAGCTTCAGTACGGCGGGCTGTGAGAACAGCACCGCACTGGTTTCAGAAGCTCTGCGTCTCGGGACGCAGACCAGCCAAGTAGTCAGCGAGCCGGAACACTACTTCTGGTTGTACCGCCTCTCCTACATGTGGCCCTGTGTGATCGGATACGTGTTGGCCGTGGCCGTGGGTTACGGCAGCAGCATCGTGATGCAAAGACTGGGATGGGCAGAGAACTCCCAAATCTATTTGGACAAATACAGGAAGCAACTGGACTACGACCTCTTCGCTCCTGTCTTCTCGCGTCGCTGGCGGCGTCAGTATGAGCAACGAAACCCAGCCACGCCGGACGAAACCCTCACCAAGCTAAATCAGTAATTTAGGTGCTCTCTCAGGCTAAGTTTTAGAATTGTGTATTTTTAATGTAAGGAGAAGGAGAAATTTCCAGAAGGCTTCGGTAACTGCTGCTAACTGAGTCCAATAAGGGATGTCGTACCTAAAAGTGCATAACAATGTGACCTTTTTGTATACCTGCGTGAACTACTAGAGCGACCAAACAGAGTCTTCCATATACAAATAATCTACAATAATTGTTAGCTAATTAGAAAATTTTCACAAGAGAATCACTATAGCTAGAATAACCAGTTGGATGTTGAATGTTGGATAGTTATAGTTACAAAGAAGGGGTGTTCCACCTGCCGACAACAACAAGACTATATGAGAACAAATGTAGGCCGATTACTTTCCGATGCTGGGCATTGACAGCCACAATGCCCGGCCCAAGCTATTAGTTTCTTAACTGGAATTTCATTTTATACTTAACTTAACTTAAAATTAATCCTGTTAACTATAAGTCTTATGATATTTTGGTACTTTGTTAGGAAAGTTTTGTAATATTAACTAAGCAATACTTTTATTTATTGATGAAATCGTATATTTACACACATACGGAGCTCGAGGTCAGGGCTATAATTATAAACTACAGTGGGCACCCCTATTATTAGCTCAAATCGAAGCACATTTGCTGCACAACATTGTGACTTTTATATATATATATACCTCATACACTCATACACAAAGATATACTATACAAGCTGTGTTGCAGTAGAACAATAATATCCTAAGCGCTGGAAATTAGAAAATTATATTTGTGAAAGCTGCTGACCATTAAAAGTAAATGTTCCATAAAGCATATGTTTTTTTGGAAGCTTGGTGTGTCCATGGGGGCGGGGTGTTGCCCAAAAAATCACGATTAGCTTGGAACTTCCTCCGATAAGAAAATAGTTCTATCAGCCAAGGTTGTGCAAAGTTGCGTGTTCGATGGGAAATCTATTTTGGAGCCCATACCTTTCCCCCGATTGAGGCACAAAGTCTAATTGGAGGGCCCTAGGAAGCAAATTGCTTAAAATTGAAGAGGCCACCGGGGTCACCATGTGAATGGGTTTGCCTGTAAACGAATGCCAATTGAAAAAATAGTCAAATCATTAAATCATTTGTCATATTCGGTTGTGGTTGTGGAAAGTTTTCAGATCGTGGAGGGTTCAAAGTACCAACAGTCTCGCCTGACACATTTTTTTTTTCTTTTTTTGGCCAACGAAAGAAGAACTTGAAGAATGAGACAAAAATAGTTATCATGGGGGGTTAGACGAATTTTGAATGCCCTTCTTTGGACATTTCTAGCGAAATGGACTTGGAAGATCAAGAAAATAAATAACAAACATAACTCCCAATCTTGTTCTGTATGCATGATGGTTCTATAGACTTCATAGTATAGAGTTCGGATCGGGTTTCACTTCAGCTACGTCCACAATTGATGATTCGGCGAAATCTATTGATTTATTTATCTTTATTTGTTTAGCGTTTATGCAAACGCCTGGCAGTGAGTTGTGGGATTTGTTAGCAAAATATAACAGAAGCTTTCACATTAATTCGCCCAGCCATTAAATAGTTTGTGGTGGTTCGATAAGGGGTTTCGCTTGACGCACTCTCCCCATATAGTATATACAAAGTATGAATCATTATAATCTTCTATCCACGTGGTGCTTGTTGATGAAGTCCAGAAACACATCCCCCAGGGTGGTATGGCTTATGGAATAATATAAAATTTGCATCCTGCGCTTGCGCTTCTCCATGTAATGAAAGATCTCCGAGTATCTTATCTCCCCCTTTGGAATGCTAAAGATGATTATTCCGCGGTAAGTAAACCTTTCGCTGAGGAGGAAATCATTAAGAAAGGAACTCTCATTGGTAATAGTTTCGGACCCACCTGACCTTACTGTACGGGTGATCATCCACAAACTGAACCTCCACCTTCCGCAGGAGCTTTTCGTACATACTCCGGATGTCGGATTCGGAAATCGGTTGAGATTCTGCATCGGTTATTCTCTCTGCGGATTGAGATCTCCAGCCCAAGATGGTGGAAGATCCGATCCTTGGAGGTAATTCAACATCGAGGATGGTATCACTTCCCCTGTTACTTCTCCTTCTTTGCATCATATTGGCATATCGCTCCGATTCTTCTTTGGCCTCGGCGAGCTCTTGGGGACTCCCCACTTTCACCTTGACGAAAATGTTCTTGTCGAAGCGGTTCTTGAGTCGGGTCAGGGTACCATAACAGAGCAGGGAGCCGCGCTCCAGGATGCCCAAGTTGGTGGCCAGCACCTCGCACTCTTCCATGCTGTTGGTGGTGACCAGTATGGCCAGCCCGCTGAGACGCAAGCTGTCCAGCACGTGCCAAATGTTATACTTGGCGTTCATGTCCACCCCGGCGGTGGGTTCGTCCAGGCAAATGAGGGTCGGTGCCAGCGAGGCAATGGCCAGCATCAGCTTCCGTCTCGTCCCGTTGCTGCAGTTGCGGATTAGTTTATCCAGCTGCCTGTCCAGGACGAAGGACTGCTCCATATGCTCTACCACTTCCTTGACCAGATCCCGACGCACGCCGTTGTTGAGGCACGAGAAGTGTAACATCTGCCGGCCTGTCATGTAGGTGGCAAGTATTGGCTCCCGCGGACAGAACCCCAAATGGCGCAGACACTTCTTGTCCTTTTTCACGTTCATCCCCTTGATGTAGATGTCGCCGGCTGTAATGGGAATCTTTCCCACGATCATGTAGAAGGTGCTCGACTTTCCCGCTCCGTTCCTTCCCAGCAGGCAGAGGCACTCAAAGCTGAATGGGGAAAGAGATCTATCATCTGTCATCCCTTGGGACATTCACTCACGGATTCAGGTCCAGTGTTAGACACCTTACTGCCACTACATCATCATAGCGCTTGGTGGCCCTCCTCAAGATTAGGGGGTAGTTGACAAACTTGTGCTTGGTTATGTCCTCCATCCTTTGGCGCAGTCGCTCCACCTCGAAGTCCTCGTCTTGGGTGTTTGGCTGGACATTCTCGTTCCTTATGGATCTGAAAATGTAAGAAATGGTAGATTCCTTTTCAAGACCGATCTCGGTGTGGTCTCAACTTTAAACAGTAGACGATGCGCCGGGGAATCCACGAGTAAATCACCAGGAGAAAGTATATAACGCCGCTGATGAGCAGATAGAGAAGCTCCAGATTGTTGTAGATTACCGGATTGGTGGACGTGTTGGAGGTTTCAGACTTTCCAGTGTCATAAATGGAATCAGCCATTCGCATTTGGTAGCTATGGAACCGCTCGTCCTCTGTCAGGATATTCTGTTCGCCACAAAATAGGGCGTAGTGGGGTATTACCAGGAGAATGCACTCGAAAACCAGGAAACGCTTCTTCTCCTTGTTGGGGTGGACAAATATTGCCACCACGCCTGCAATGAATCTAGTTATACCTCCACATTCAGAGGATATCCATGGCTTACCCAGCATATTGATGTACATGATGAGGCTAAACATCGATCCCATTTTGCCCGATATCAGGCACAACATGTAGGTGAACGATATTGCGGCGAATCCAAAGGCGAAAAGCAGTAACAGCATGGGCAGGGCAGTTCCCGAGGTGAGTCCCACGACAAAGATCAGGGATACCACCATCACCATGTAGATGACTAGGTCCCAGGCCATGTGGGCCATCCAGTAGGTGGCCCGGCTCATGCCGTTGCTCAGCTGGAGGTGCCGCATATCCGTCTCGCGCTCCAGCACCGGCATTACGGCAAAGGTGGCGGTGGCCAGGACCAGGTAGAAGCACACCAAGCCCGAGAACTCCACGGAGTTGAACTCATTGAGGCCAATCACCACGTCAGCGAAGTTGTCGGGCCTGGGCTTGTTCACAATCTCCATTTCTAAGTTGGCCAAGTGCTGGCCCAGGGCCTTGTAGACCAGGCCCAGAGCCAGGGCAGACCCGTGCTCCAGCATCGTGTTCTGCCAGGCGATGATAGTTTTGTTGGATTGGACTACTGTGACACCGGCAAGGAATGATTTCTGCACCTCCACCTCATTCTTTATCAAGTGGCCCAGCACGTAGTCGTGGATGGAATCCTGCTTGGTGCCAACCACAGTGGCCCCACGATCCTCCGCCATTTCTCGGTAAGCTTTGATGAAGTCTGCATTGTCAGCCGACTCGGTCACCAGAACCGGGTCTGAGTATCTGCTCAAATCGGTGACAAACAAGGGGTCATCTGAGGTATGGAGGAAAAAGATGAAGAGTTCCGAAAGGAAGACTAGGATGAAGGTGAGGATCGGGAAGAGAATCATCGTGATGTAGAGACTTTTGTGGCGTTTTGTAAAAATCCACTTCTTGATCATGATGGCTCGCCACTGATTTTGGACTATCTGGATAGGATTATGTTCGCGGACCTCGAACGAAGGCAGCAAACCTGAACGAAGGATAAGGGATTTCCAGGATAAGGGATAGGAATTCATCCAATGGTTACTCACTAATCAGGGATCCGAGGGGCGATGCATGGGACTGACGCAAAACAGAGATGCTACGGTCATGGGCCGAATTCATTTCCTCTCCGATCCGCAGGAACATATTGCTGAGGGTTGGGGCCTCCACAGTGAACCCCGTGATCCTAAGATAGCCCAACGAGTCCTCCAGGTCTCCGAATAAGTTGGAGAATTCGCGGATGTTTTTTGTGGGCAGCTTGTACGATACGAATATACTATGCTCGTTGTCCAATATGATGCCCGGAATGCGCCTCTGCAGGAAGTGGGTAACCTCTGACACTAAACAGGACTCCTCCATCGCGCAGGTCAGCTTGAAAACAGCTCCCAATTCGGGGACCTGTGTGAGAAACCCGGGAGTACCATAGCCCAGCACGCGACCGTTGCAAAGAAACACTATGCGGTCTGCCAGGACTTCGGACTCGTACATATTGTGGGTGGCTATGATGATGCAGCGACCCATCCGTTCCCTCCGCAGCAGATCCCACATGCCGCGGCGCACCAACGGATCCATGCTGGTGCAGGGCTCATCCAGAATAACAATCTAAAAGAAAGGAGTCTGAACCAAAAGTGAGGGGGAACTACTTCTCGTCGAACCTTGGAACGTCCGCACAGAGCACAGCACACGGAGAGCATCCGCTTCATGCCAGTGGGCAGTTCAGCCACCGCGTCATCGGCATACTCCTGGAGGTGGCTAACTTCCAGGTATCTCTGTGTTTCGGCAGCAGCCTCCGATCCGCTCATGCCCTTCAGCCGGCAATAGAAGTTGATGTGCCACCCCACCTTGTTCTTCTCGAAGAGAATGTTGTGCTGGGGACAGATCATCATCGAACGACGTGCCTTGCGCGTCTCTGTGTCCATATCGAAGCCGTTGATGATGACCTCGCCGGAAGTTGCCTGCACAATCCCGGACAGCATCATAAGGATCGTCGTCTTCCCCGAATCGTTGTGACCCATAATCACCGTTATTTCATCCTGACAGAAATTCAACGTGAAATTGTCGACCACTTTGTGGTTGTTGTAAAACTTTTGCAAGTTCCGGGCCTGAATGATGATGGGTCGCATCCTGGCGGTCTGTTCTCGACCAGAGCCTTCGCCTTCAACGTCGGTTGGAGGACGCTTTGGCAGGCACCAGAAGGAGCGCTGGATCGGAAAATACCACTTTCGGGGCCGAACACCGGTCAGCGCCTCCACATAAAAGAGGACAAGAATGCGGAAAACGCTGCCCAGCAGCATGAGGGCGATGACCATGCCAAGGGTGAAATGCTTGTCCTGGTCAGTGCGGTAGAAGATGTGCTTCCACTGCATGCCCCGGTAGAGGGTCTCATGCTCGATCAGCTCGTGCACCCCGATGGTTATGGCGCTATAGAGGAAGAAGCAGGACACAAAGTTCCGAAGGAAGGTCTCCTGGTATCCCTTCAGGAGCAGCCGCCAGGGCAGCCAGCTGATCAGGTGCAGTATTAGGATGGCTATCTGCACCATAATGCTGTCATTTACGAAAACCGAGATCATAAAGGCGGAGCACAGAAGCTCCACTATGTAAACCAGAAGGAATATCAGTACCAGGCTCGTATCGCTCTTCGGGTAGAAGCGCCCCTTCTGCAGCAACACCAGCAGCACGGTGGGTATGGACAGCACCACGAAGCCGACGATGAACCAGGAAGCCCAGTGAATCCGGGAATTCACGTTCAACAGCTGCAACATAGCCGTCGCATGCTCCTCCTTGTCGCGCACAATCATCTTAAGGGAGACAATAAGACAATAAGGTCCTAAACCCCGTGAAGATCACCCTCATCCATACCTGAGTAAGAAAAGCAGCGGATATGGTAAAGGGCAGGACCAGAAAGCCGGCTAAAGAGAGACGACGTTCGTTCAGCTCGACCTCCGAAATCCAGGGTAAAGGAAGGTGTTCCATGACCACCATTGGCAGCTTAGCGGTATCGTTCTTCGCCCGAATCAAAGCCTCGCTCAGCTTGGACTGGACGATGAGGAAACCCTCAACGCGGTAACAGTCGCCAGTCAGATGCAAATGCCTGTACAACGCCCCGGTCTCCCATATCATCTTGGGCTTATTACGCAGGTGTTCCGGAAACACTATCGACACAATTACCTTGTTCGGCAATTCGGTAATGTCTCTAAACTGATCTTCGAACTCTATGCCCACAAAACCTTCTTCATTCTGGAGCGCCTTGATCATGGTGGCACCATTATCGAATCCCTTGGTTACTTTGGGGTCCAAATCCGCTCCCATATCCTGAATGACGCGGGCGACGACAGCGTTATTTGGCGAATAATAAATGGACCTGATTTCAAACAACTTTCGTCAAGGCAGCCTTGAGCAATGTGACATATACATACGGCACATCGGTTCTTATATTAATGGGCGGGGACCATTGGTGTAGCTCCTCCGCTGGGTCTCGGTACAGGAAAATCGTTGTCGAGTAACACACAAACACTAGCATCGGACCCAAGATGATGATCAGAGTGGTTAGCAGGTTGCCCACCTGGAAACGGACTGTCTTGCAAATGACCAGCCATAGCACGCAGACGCTGCTCTGGTTTTTCGGCGCAGACGAATTATTTTGCATGATCGACGATCATAATTGGATACACAAGCAGCACGCAGTCGAAATATAACAAACTTCACATATACTCCGCACTAAAACGTTCCCGTTTCCGTTTTATCTTTTATTTTGTTGTTTATGAAAAAAGTTAAAAGTAGAATCCGGCAATCTCGCAGAGGGAACGTTGCAACAGCTTACTTCTTCTTGGACACACCCACGGTGCGACCGCGACGACCGGTGGTCTTGGTGTGCTGGCCACGGACACGCAGGCCCCAGTAGTGGCGCAGACCGCGGTGGGAGCGGATCTTCTTCAAGCGCTCCAAATCGTCACGGAGCTTGGAGTCCAAGTTGGAGGAGGTCAGCTGCCAGTACTTGCCATCGACGATGTCCTTCTGCCTGTTAAGGAACCAGTTGGGAACCTTGTATTGCAGGGGGTTCGAGATGATGGTGACAACCTTGTCAACCTATAATTTAGGAAGGGTGGGCGTGGGCTTTAGTTTATGATTTGGGTTTTCCATTTCAGCGACTCACCTCCTCCTCGGTGCACTCACCGGCACGCTTGGTCAGATCGACATCGGCCTTCTTCAGGACGATGTTGGAGTAACGGCGACCGACTCCCTTGATGGCAGTCATGGCAATGCCCACCTTGCGCTTACCATCGATGTTCGTATTCATGATACGAAGGATGTGCTGGAACTTCTCTGGGATGACGAGCGACTGCAACAACAAAAAGGAACAAATTAGCAACATCAATACGGCATTTTGCAACAAACATGGCCGTGCATAGGGAAGCACCTCTTCTCGCTATGTACACCCGAAATTTCATTGCCCCCAGACACTTACCATTTTGATCTATTCCACGTCGGATCTGGAGGATAAGAAAAACAGTTTATTTACAATAAAAGCGCTTAGAATGGTTTAAAATAAAGAAATAAAGGGAAAAGCCACGTGGGGCGTACGTACCTAGACGAAACGAGAGGTTAAAAAGAAAGAGACCAAATTTGATGCCAGGTTAAATGGCAAAAAAGGCTAACCAGGGCTGCCATAAGGGTTCGATAGTTAGGATCTCATTTCCAACGATAGTTGGTAACACTTCCCAGTCTATCGAAAAAAAAGAATGTGACCGTTGAGGAGAAATTCAGTTAGGGCTAAAACTGGCTTAATAAATGTAGCATTTAAGCTTTTTTAAAACTCCCGTTATAAGCGAATAAATATGGGCGAATTAAATGGTAATAAAAGAAATTTTAGTTTGGCAATGTAACATTTTTTTTTGTCAACAAAGCTCTCAGTTGCGTGGGACAGAATGACCTCGTTTCCTTGCGTATTGTCTGCACCCTGGCACAAAACAAGCGAAATAAGCTAAGCTTGGAGGATATGGACGGCTATGGAAACACCGCCTTGCTTAAGGCTTGTTATCTGGGAAGATTCGAGTGTGCTCGCACTCTTCTTCATTTCGGTGCGAATATATTTGCTGTTAACTATTTTGGACAAAATGCTCTTACCTTGGCCACTTGCGCTGGCCATTTGCCATTGGTCCAAGAGCTCTTGTGCAGGCGATCTTACAAGGACTTCAATCGGTCCTCCTTGATTCCAGCTTTATGTGTGGCCGTAATGAAAAAACATGCTGATTTGGAAAAATATTTCATCGGACTGGATCCGGTTGGTGTTCATAGCACTCAAACCGTTCATGGTGGGTCATTTAAACTTATTTCCACTTATTAGGTTAATAATACTTGTTGTTTCAGGGCTGGGAGTAAGCGACCTTAAGAAAATGATAACTGAAGCAGATAGACTCAATAAGCGTCGGCATCCTCCGTCACCAACTTTTCTTAATTGCAAATTTCGTTAATCAAATGTGTTTTATGTATTGGAATTTATTTATTTTAAAATGTATTGCATTGAAGTGAACTATTTGTATTATTTAGTGTGGGAAAACGCTAAAATCGGGAAATTTGGCAACTCCTATATTATCGACCAGCTGTTATCGATATCATCACAGGCTTTTCACATCCCTATCCCGCTCATTTCGCGCGCCTGATTACTAAAAATTTGCACACGTTCTTCATTCATTTAAAGATCACTGAACAGTCAGCATTCTAAGGCCTTCAGGAGCGACTTTCTTGGCTTAATCTGTCGATAATTAGTTACAGCGTCCTCTCTTGTAAGCCACTGAAAAAGGCCTAGCGTTTCGCGCGTTACATATTCTGAGAATTTCCACTAAATAACAACCAAAAGAAGCAAACATGTTTGAAGCTCGCCTGGGACAAGCCACCATTCTGAAGAAGATCCTAGATGCCATCAAGGATCTGCTCAATGAGGCCACCTTTGATTGCAGCGATTCTGGCATTCAGGTAAGTGTCGTGTTAGCATCTATAAGGGAAAACCACTAAAAACCCTTTTTAACCCACAGTTGCAGGCCATGGACAACTCTCATGTGTCCCTGGTATCGTTGACCCTCCGGTCCGATGGCTTCGACAAGTTCCGCTGTGATCGCAATCTGTCCATGGGCATGAACCTGGGTAGCATGGCCAAAATTCTCAAATGCGCAAACAATGAAGACAACGTAACAATGAAGGCCCAGGACAATGCCGATACAGTGACCATTATGTTCGAGTCGGCAAACCAGGAGAAGGTTTCCGACTATGAGATGAAGCTAATGAACCTCGACCAGGAGCACCTGGGCATTCCGGAGACTGATTTCTCCTGCGTGGTCCGTATGCCGGCGATGGAGTTTGCGCGCATTTGCCGCGATCTTGCCCAGTTCAGCGAATCTGTGGTCATCTGCTGCACCAAGGAGGGCGTCAAGTTCTCGGCCAGCGGCGATGTGGGTACCGCTAACATCAAGTTGGCTCAAACTGGATCCGTCGATAAGGAAGAAGAGGCCGTCATCATCGAGATGCAAGAGCCTGTTACCCTCACCTTTGCCTGCCGCTACCTGAACGCCTTCACAAAAGCCACTCCATTGTCCACTCAAGTGCAGCTGTCGATGTGCGCAGATGTCCCGTTGGTGGTGGAGTATGCTATTAAGGATCTGGGTCACATACGCTACTACCTGGCGCCCAAGATTGAGGACAACGAGACATAAGCCAGAGGGACAGCCTTTTCATATTTATTCTCCCGCTCGTAATCACTCATCCCCTTACGTACTATTCATTCCTATGTTTTAAGATAAAAATTCAGTTTTGATTCAATAAAACCTGTATTGTGTAATGTTAATGATTGGTCTTTGTTTATTGGAATTTAATGTAAAGCGAAGGATATATTCTAGATTTTTCGTTAGAACTTAAATGATTTCTGGATCGATTCGCCACAATTATGCATCAAAATCCTGAGACAAAATATTTTTTCAATTTTTTGTCCATTTTTCTGATGGGGTCCCTTGAAAATGCGGTTTTCCCCTATAGGGTCCACAGTGATGGCTATATCTTCCCCAATTCTCATCCGATTCTCAAAAGGAGTACCTTAAACGATTTCTGGATCGATTCGCCACCATTCTGCATCAAAATCCTGAGACAAAATATTTTTTCAATTTTTTGTCCATTTTTCTGATGGGGTCCCTTGAAAATGCGGTTTTCCCCTATAGGGTCCACAGTGATGGCTATATCTTCCCCAATTCTCATCCGATTCTCAAGCGGAGTACCTTAAACGATTTCTGGATCGATTCGCCACCATTCTGCATCAAAATCCTGAGACAAAATATTTTTTAAATTTTTTGTCCATTTTTCTGATGGGGTCCCTTGAAAAGGGCCTGCCATGGCCTGCAGCTGTGGGTTAACAAGGGCTTTAGTGGTTTTCCCGAATAGATGTCCTTTTTTCTGATGGGATCCCTTGAAAATGCGGTTTTCCCCTAAAGGGTCCAGTGTGATGGCTATATCTTTCCCAATTCTCATCCGATTCTCAAGCGGAGTACCTTAAACGATTTCTGGATAGATTCGCCACCATTCTGCATCAAAATCCTGAGACAAAATATTTTTTTTTGTCCATTTTTCTGATGGGATCCCTTGAAAATGCGGTTTTCCCCTATAGGGTCCACAGTGATGGCTATATCTTCCCCAATTCTCATCCGATTCTCAAGCGGAGTACCTTAAACGATTTCTGGATAGATTCGCCACCATTCTGCATCAAAATCCTGAGACAAAATATTTTTTCAATTTTTTGTCCATTTTTCTGATGGGATCCCTTGAAAATGCGGTTTTCCCCTATAGGGTCCACAGTGATGGCTATATCTTTCCCAATTCTCATCCGATTCTCAAGCGGAGTACCTTAAACGATTTCTGGATCGATTCGCCACAATTCTGCATCAAAATCCTGAGACAAAATAGTTTTTCAATTTTTTGTCCATTTTTCTGATGGGATCCCTTGAAAATGCATCCCTTCTGCATCAAAATCCTGAGACAAAATATTTTTTTTTGTCCATTTTTCTGATGGGATCCCTTGAAAATGCGGTTTTCCCCTATAGGGTCCACAGTGATGGCTATATCTTTCCCAATTCTCATCCGATTCTCAAGCGGAGTACCTTAAACGATTTCTGGATCGATTCGCCACCATTCTGCATCAAAATCCTGAGACAAAATATTTTTTAAATTTTTTGTCCTTTTTTCTGATGGGATCCCTTGAAAATGCGGCTATCCCCTATAGGGTCCACAGTGATTGCTATATCTTCCCCAATTCTCATCCGATTCTCAAGCGGAGTACCTTAAACGATTTCTGGATCGATTCGCCACCATTCTGCATCAAAATCCTGAGACAAAATATTTTTTCAATTTTTTGTCCATTTTTCTGATGGAATCCCTTGAAAATGCTGTTTTCCCCTATAGGGTCCACAGTGATGGCTATATCTTTCCCAATTCTCATCCGATTCTCAAGCGGAGTACCTTAAACGATTTCTGGATCGATTCGCCACCATTCTGCATCAAAATCCTGAGACAAAATATTTTTTCAATTTTTTGTCCATTTTTCTGATGGGATCCCTTGAAAATGGGGATTTGAAAATTGATGAATATAAGGAATTAATAAATTTGTTATAAAAATGGACCTATATTAAATTGATTTTGAAATATATCCAATTATTTATATTTAGACAAACCAACGAAAAAGACCGTTAAATCTCTTGTTAAATCAATAACAATAAATAATCTTGTATCTGGGATAGTACCTAGATTATATGACCCTTCAATACATATCATATGGGAAATACTACGTAACATGGCTTTTTATTAGGATGATAAGATGAGAGGCGAACATGAATCATTCGGTCCGAGTTTAGTGCCATTTAGTTAGCTCACTTAACCAGACGGATTTTCAAAAACGAACTAAAAATCAAAGAACATGAATAATTGCCTATCATCGTTTTTTAAGTACCTTTTGTACTTTCTCAATCTGGTCTTTGTATTCAGTGGAGTTTTCCTAATAGTTTTTGGTGCTTTAATGTTAAATGGTTTAGGAAATTTTACAAAATTCGATGGAGCGACTGTTGTTACTTTTCCAATTACCTTTATTGTCATTGGTAGCGTCACCTTCTTGGTGGCATTCTTCGGATGTTGTGGCACTATTCGCGAAAGTGCCTGCCTCACAAAAATTGTAAGCATAGTCCTTAAAATTCTCGGAGATGCATGAGTATTCGGAATCCCTAACTTTTTCTAGTATGCCATCTGTATGTTAATACTTTTTGGTCTGCAAATGGCGCTTTCGATTTGGTTGTTTGTGGAAAAGGATACATTTTTAGACTTTATGAGTGGTATTGTGGATAAGGCCTGGAGAAGCAACGATGAGGCCCATGGATACCCTATGGACGCTCTTCAAATAGCCGTAAGTTTGTACAGAACAAGCCAAAATGATTTATTTATTTCTTATTTTTAATTGGCAGCTAAAGTGTTGCGGTAATGAGGATTACAAACAGTATGGTGGACACGTACCAGCTTCTTGTTGTGGCTACGAAGATCGCCTTCAGGAGTGCTCGGAACACATATACAGTCATCGACCTGGTTGTAATGATGCGTTTCTCGATTTCTGGATCTCCCATATGGACGTCGTCCGGTTAAACAGCCTAATCATTGCTCTTTTTCAACTTGGCATATTCTTTATTTCTTGCCATTTGGCCCGAGCCATGAGGTGGAATTAATATTTGAATTATCAATTAAAAATAATAAAGAAAATTAAAATTGATTAACGAAATTAACCTTAAAATCTAAAATTAATTTTTCCTGAATGTTTACGTCATTTGCGTCATGATTTTACGAATTAAGTATACGCCCGGTTGTCGCTCCTATATAGGCTACATTTTTATGTATTTATGAGCCATATTCCATAGAACTAACCTATCATTCGAGAATATTTAGTTGGTTTGTGGAGGTGAATCTAATCTACATAAATACTATTTTATTTGTGAAGGCAATCAATGGCTATTGACTTACTTATATCAAAAATATTTCGTACAAAAACAAACCTAATCAATATAAAAATCCTAATCGTGCTGCCAATGTTTGGAGTGTACTCGCCAAAAATTTTATTATGGGATTGATAGTCCCTGGAATAGGTTATGATAACCTGGGGGACTCACGCGGAAACGGTGGCCAACAGAAAGTTTCTTATGAGTCAGCTCTAAGGTCCGTGATAAGGGCGAACTTGGGATGTGTCCAAATCGTGAATGATTCATCTTAATGAGGACCAACGCCCCCACAGATTCAATTTCATGAATGCTCCAAAGGTATATGTGATTCACAGAGATTATCAGGTACATTTTCGGGTGGTACAAGCTTTGGGGTCTAGTCCATATCTTCCCGGGTGCAATGTGATAAGATCCATTGAACGACTTTGTCAAGTACATAGAGGAGAGAACTCTCTGGGCAAACACATTGGAAACTTTATGGCCGAGATAAGCAACGCCTCTGATAAGAAGAGTGCCTTGAATGGGCTTTAATAGGCCGGTTGTGGCCGGGAGACAGTTCAGTTTTACGAATTTAGTCGCAACGAACGGATTATCCCGCTAACGAACGAAAAGAAAACCAAAAATCCAGCAAAATGAATTGTCTATCCGCGATGTTCAAGTACTTGCTGTACTTCCTCAATCTAATCTTTGTGGCCGGAGGAATTCTGCTCATAGTGGTTGGCTCTATCATGCTGTCCACCATGGGCAACTTCACCGCCTTTGATGGAGCTGTCAACACGCAGACGATCCCGATCACCATCCTCGTTCTGGGCTGCGTCACCTTCGTGGTGGCCTTCTTCGGATGCTGTGGAACCATTAGGGAGAATGCCTGTTGCACTACCATTGTAAGTGACAAATGGCAGTAAAGTTAAATTGTATTTTTACTGACCAGCAATTTTCCTCTTTTCAGTACGCCATCTGTATGCTGATCCTCTTTGGTCTGCAACTGGCGTTGTCGATCTGGATCTTTGCGGCAAACGACAAGTTCCTGGCCAGCATGGGCAAGGTGGTCGACAAGGCCTGGGACGAGAATAATGCCGCCCAGGGCTACCCCATGGATGCCCTCCAACTGGCTGTAAGTATAGATATAATAAAAATGATACAAACTCGTGCTAATATATTGATTTCGAATCTAGTTCAAGTGCTGCGGTAACTCCGGATACGAACAATATGGTAGCGCTGTCCCTGCCTCCTGCTGCGGATACAAGGACCGGACCAGGGTGTGCGAGGCCGAAATTTACACTCAAAGGATCGGATGCCAGGAGGAGTTCGTCGACTTCTGGGCCTCCAACACTGACATCATTCGGTGGAGCAGTCTGATTATTGCCCTCTTCGAGTTGGGCATATTCATCATGTCCTGCTGCCTCGCCAGCGCGATGCGGAAGCGCTAAATCGGTAGTCTGATCCATCACTTCAGAGAATTACGTTACTAGCATAAATTCAAAATCACAACTCCATCACTCGCCGTAAATAAAACCAACTAGATTAAGATCAATGAAATATTATTGCTTTATGCGCTGTCTATTGTTGGCTACTGCCTATCTTATCGGGTCAAGTTGATGTTTTTCCCGAAAACTATATACTTATCAGTTGATAAGGCCACCGCCCCGGTTCTGAGATCAATTGCCCTCAGAAATGAATCACTTCCATATGGCAATTATTATCGATTTCCCCGCAAAATGCCGCCATTATCTATCCTTCTTCTGAGCCATGATTATGATAACAAACTTTGGGGTATCTTTCTGATATCGCTGGTGTCTGTTGGCCAAGTTATAAATGGTAGCCCAGTGGAGGTCTACTCCAATCGAACGAAAGTAAACGACGCGTAAACGCGATAAAATCTGATCAAAACTCTGGAATAAAACTACACTTTGTAAAATAACTAAAAAGGATAAAATTCAAAAGTCTTCAAAATGGGTTGCCTATCTGGAATAGTTAACTTTATTTTATACATTGTTAATGTTGTGTTTTTGGTGAGTTATAAATTGGAAAAACATGATAAATAAAGTGACATTAAATAATTATAAAATAGTGGAAATAAATTATTAATGAGTTACTACTGCAGTTTTTAAAAAGTTGTGTTTTCATTCTTCTCAAAAGAAACCTTATTTTTTAACTGACTTTAAGGAATATAAAATAAATATAAATAATAAATATTGTTTAACAGTGTATACATGCTTAAATTTATTATTCTGAAAATATTCCCAATCTAAAGCCAGACAGAGATAAAAATAAATCCAGGAAGTGAAATTGATCTCTTAATGAATTTAATTAAAATAAGATAAGACTTTGTTAGGTCCTATATTAAAGATATATTAAATTCTTATAGAATTTAATGTATAATACTTATAAAATATTAAATTCTTTCTGAAAAAATTTCCTTCTTAAGAACTATTTAAGATTTAAAATCTTAAATTAAGTTTTTGAATTACCGCAGTTAGCACTATTCTAAGTCTTACATCAGCGTTTGAAAATAAATAAGAAACTCAAAAAATTCCCTATTACTCATCGGTCGTTTCGATGTCTATATTTCCTTGTCATGAGGTTTATCATTATTATTAATGGACATTTGTTGGTAAAGAAAAAAATATTATTGTAATATTATTGACACACACCTATTTTATCAGTTAATTGACATATCGGTTTTTTTTTTGTAGTACATTTTTATAAAAGTAAAGTAAAGACTTTAAGTATATATGTATATGTATGTGTTCAGTTATAATTTATAAATCTATAAACCTACTATTGATTTATAAGCAATTTAAACGTAATATTATTATACCCTTGTCGAGGGCATTGTAACTTTGGTCAATCCTATAATATTTTTGATCAGGACCTCCTTCTGAGTCGATATAATCAAATCAAACATATCATTCTTGTATTTCTAGATCGTCGGCATCCTTCTGATCGTTTTGGGATCGATTATGTTATCCGATCTCAGTCATTTCAATGGCTCGGGTGAAGATCCAAACACTATTCCCATTTGCATTACTGTCCTGGGTGGCCTTATATTCGTGGTGTCCTTCTTTGGATGCTTTGGAATTTTCAAGCAGAGCGCTTGCATGACAGGAGCTGTAAGTAAAGCATCCTTTTTTTTAATATTTCCAATTATAAAAACAATTTATTCACTTTTCTAGTACACCAGCATGATGTTTGTGCTCTTCATCCTGCAATTGGTGCTAACTTGCTGGGTATTTGTGAACCGGAACGCATTTTTGGGCGACATGAGTAACCTGGTGAGCAACCTGTGGAATAATAAGGATTACACCGCCATGGGCTTATTGGAGGACGCGTTTGGTTGCTGTGGTAATACTGGATACTCAAACTATAATTCTGTCAATCTGCCTGTACCCGGAACCTGCTGCGGATACTTGGATCGCTCCAGCACTTGCATGGACTCCTACGTCTACCAATCACGACCCGGCTGCAATTCGAAGTTTACGGAATTCTGGTACGACAACATGGACATCATCCGCTGGTCTGGCCTGGGAATCTGCATTTTCGAACTTGTGGTTTTCCTGATCGCCGGTGCCTTGACGAACTGCATGCGTAGACAGAATGCAGGGGGCCAGGCTTACGCCTAAATATCCACAATACACAGATACATAAATTATTTCTTTTTCTTTCAATTTCTTTCCATTTCTTCTAATAAAAATATAACTTGATAAAAAACAATCTGTTGGTCAAAATATATTATTGCCTTGGAATATTTTTTAGAATCTAGATCCTAAAATGTTTGAATGCAAATATCAAGGTCACAAAAGAAACTCTCTAAGCATGTTTTCGAGTGTTTGATTTTTGAGCTTAGATCTATAGAATTAAAGGGCAAAATAAAATTCCTCTTTAACCGAAAAAATTACAAAGCATTTCTGCATTTGATGTGCATTTTGGTTGGTTCGCCTGTTTTGCCGAAAACAAAAATATATTTTAAAATAATATAGTATTTTTTTAATTCTCCATTTACCTTTTAAAAAATATCCTAAAAGTAGGCAACATATCGAGCTGATTTATATGGTGGAAAAAAATGTCGCTCTCGAACTAAATAATTTCGAAAAGCTTTTTTTGCGATAAGAATCGCACTTATAAAAACAGTTAAGGGGGAAAACTTTCCAGTAACGATTGATCAACCAAACAAGCTACAACGAATAGTGTGTTCTACCGGCTAAATACCAATAATAATATAATCATGGATTGCGGTGGGGTTTTTGTGAAATATGTGTTGTTCATATTCAACATATTGTTTGTGGTAAGCAAAAGTTTTCACAAGGGTTGGACAATAGTTTTCAACGTTAGCGAGTTTTGCAAACATAACCCTTGGCTCTGCTTCTATATCTTATCGGCGAAGCAAAGACAAATTAAATCTTCAGGCTCAAGACTCCTCCGTGGATATCGCTCTCGAAAGTTATCTTATCTGGAAACTGGTTAAAGTGGTTAAAAACGTAGAATTCTTTAAATAAATCATCGCATGCCAATGCCGAACGTAATTACGGCTAATGGGCTGAAACTTTTTAGGAAAACACACTGTACCTCAGGGAGATAACGGGAATGAGTAATACTTGATAGTAGATATGTACACTTGTATGTATTCAGTCTCTAAAAAATATGAAAGAGAACAAAAATGCAATTGCGAAAGGGGATTATTTATTGTACATTCAGATCAGAAAAGCAGTCGGAAATTGCTCTCCCACCGCAATAAAATCCCTTTCAAACTAGGTTAAAATCATGTGACGAATGCACCTAAAATTCTAAATACTTTAGATATCCCTGTTGTTAGTCATACCATTTAAATGTACTCAGTATTTACTAAGTACTAGTGAGTCAATGGGCTTATTATTCATTTCTTCAGAATTCTTTCCAAAAACAAAACTTTAAAAGTAAAAAGGATGAGGGTCTTGCCTATATGATAACCGATACTTATTCGATTTCCTCTTGTTCTTTTTTTTTAAAGCCTAACACTAACTTTGATTTTTCGTTTATTTTTTGCAGATATGTGGCGTTTTACTCATCACCTTTGGGTCTATAATGGTAGCATCCATTAAGGATTTCTCGAATGTCGGAGAAACCTTCACTGCCAACAGTGTGGCCATCATTATCCTGGTCCTGGGCTGCCTCATCTTTCTGGTCGCCTTCATGGGATGCTGCGGAGCCATTCGTGAGAATGCCTGCTGTCTGACAACGGTAGGAAGTCTGCCTTAATCCTTGGTTCCTTGTTTTTAATTTAAATTTGATTTTTCTAGTACTCCTCTGTGATGATGGTGCTGTTAGTCGGTCAATTGGCCCTAATCATTTATGTATGGATTGACCATGTACAGATTCAGCAATCTCTGGAAAAGATTGTCCAGACAATCTGGGACCAGCGAAAATCTGATTCCCTCCTATTGGACACTCTGCAACGATCGGTAAGATATTACCTATCTTTAAATAAACTTAAGGATTAACTATATGAAATACTTTTTACAGTTCAAGTGTTGCGGTCTGAAGAGCTACGTTGATTATGTGTCTGTAACTTTTCCTGCCTCCTGCTGCGACTCTCCCTCCAATAGTACGTGCTCAATCACACAGGTAACTGGAAGACCTGGATGTCTTGGAGCTGTTGATACCTTCTGGGACACGAACGTCAATATCATCAAATACGCGGGTCTGGGCGTGACCGCCATTGAGGTAACTAACCGAAGCCTTTTTTAAACCGAGAAGAATTTTTGTTTTAAAAATATTTTTATTTTTTTATTTTAGCTTGTGGCTTTCATTTTCGGGTGCTGTCTGGCCAATCAGACCCGAAACTCACAGAGACGCCAGAACTACTAAGCGCTGAGGAGTGTATTTATTAAATATTAATATTATCCCATTAAATCGAGTAAAAATATAACTATGTTATAAATGTAATAAATGGGATCACCAATTATGGGATAAAGAATCTAAAAAGGGATCTTGTAACTTTTAGGAGGTAGGGATGATTTAATTTAAATAGTTAGCATATTGAACTAATAAAAACCGGTAGCTATCAACCAAAATATCAAAACATTAAACTATGTCTATGGTGTAGTTTCGAAAAAACGTTTCTTGGCGCCAAGTGAATAATATATCGATTTATCGGACATGTTATCGAAAACCAGTATAGTGTAACAGTGCTTAACAGAATGTTAACAGAAACTAGAGTTTATCAGCACTGCTTTTAGGGTTTCCACTCTCAACCGAAACCCAAAGCAGGATGAAAAGCCACAGAAACCTCAAAGCAAAATTTGATTTCGGGCGGTTCGGACGTTTTTCGGACAGAGAATTATATCAAGTTTAAAGCGAAGGTAATGAGGTGTCGCGATTGAGACATTTAATAAGTAATTAGCAAGAGTGTGTGATAAAACAGGCTGACACATCGAAATTGCGATGAATTTCTACTCCTTGGTAGCGATGCTGCGAGGCAAAGTGGTTGAAAATTGTTGTGGAAGAAGGGTGAAAAGGAGACGCAAACAAAAGACTGCGTAGTACGCCAAGAAAGACAAGACGCCGCAAAGTTGTGTGAAAATTGGAAGAAAATTCATGAAATAAAAATAACAATACGGCTGCTGCAGAGTGCAATGACCCCATTGACGCATCCCATCCTTGATGTTATTGATGTGAAAAACTTGCACTCGTTGCGTACCTTTTGCGTTGGCTTTCTAGTAACCCTGGCAACGTGCTCCAAAACAACCGTCTTGGCCATTTGACAACAATGGGCCAGGCTTGAGAATTTTTCTATCACTCCCTTTGTCTCGAAATGACTTTGTGTTGCGTTTCATCTTCCCAGAAAAAGAGGGGGAACCCCTGCATCAGATCTGTGAAGGCTGTGCCCGGTGGTATCGACTTGCAAGTAACAAATAGGCTTGATTTTTCCTATTATTTTGACATCCAGCTGTCTTAATGCCTAAATATACTGATATTTAACAAATTACGTCCTAAAATTGGGTAATTAAATCGTGACTTTTCGCTTCCAGGTAATACCAAGTGAAATCCAAGCAACATGGACTGCGGCACATCTCTGGTCAAGTACATACTCTTCATATTCAACACCCTGGTCTCGGTGAGTATATGTACATATATGATATGTGCGATAGTGATTATGAAAACGAAACTGCAACAGAAATCGAAAACCGGTGCAAAAGCGTTGCGTGAAAGCCGAAATAGGGGACAATATGTTACGAAAGGGCTGGCTGTTGAAACTCAAGCCGATAATGTGTCCAATTTTATTGCAAATTTGCATGCAATATGCATATAGGGGGTCCCCTCCTAAATATTAGACTCGTGTGGGAATATCGTCGATGACCAGACAGCTCTCAGAATTTGAGAAACTCTCAACGCTGTGTATTGCTCGTTATTGGAGTTGTGATGACATCATCACTATCAGCACCAGTTCAGCTTCCAGCAAGACTGGATTTATTTTTTTTTGAATTTTTGGGGCGGCAGCAGCTAAGCCACTTCCTTTGCCTTCAAATATCCCTTACCTGGTGCTTCTCATGTCCTGTTTTAATGTGTGGTATTATCTTATTTGTAGTTCTTTTTTGAGGTAGATATTTTATTAAAGTTGTGTGAATAAGATGAATCACTTTCCTCACCATAACTGCGCGAGTACTTGTGAATTATTTGAGTCACAAGGCGAGCTCAATGAAAAAGCGTAAAAAAACCTAAAAAAATACGTGCAAGTTAGCTTGACACCCTTTAAAAAAATGCTTTTGAAAAAAATAATCAGTAATATTACTAAGGACTGCGGTTTCTGGGTTTTTTTTAGGCACAGTCCTATATACTTATGGTTATATCTGTATATTCCAGCGTATAAATAGGTGAATGAGTACATACAATTCGAAAGAAGGAAAGAAAACAGAAACCTGTTGCTCTGTTCAGATAAAACAAAAGAAAAGACCAACAACAAACACCTGGTTGTTGTCAGAACAGCAGTTTTTATAAAGTATATAGAATCTAATTTTACACGAGTCGGCAAGTTAGGTTCTAGTGGCGTGCCTAGCTGGATGGTGTGTGTGTGTGTGAGCTCTGTCTGTGATACTTCTTAGATACAGAGTATCTGAGTATGTATATCTGAGTATCTGAGAGTACCTAACACAGTCGACTGTCAAGCCAAATAAATTAACAAGCCGCCTTTCAGAGCTCCAATACGAGAGAAAAAAAAGTGCTGCCGCAACGCTCGACGAAACAGCAACAATATTTCGCAATGTGGAAACAACAAAAGGGGGAAACACAAGTGGAACACTAAACACTACAACATGGCAATGACTGTGCCGGCCAGGCATTCAGAGTTTCAGCTTGTTTTTACCCCCATGGAATCGGGTTTTGTATTCGCCTCACGTCTGTGATGTGCGGGCTAGAACCGAACAGTCACCTAATGACAAACCTGTGAAGTATATAATTTTATTATATATGTATTTATATGCAACATGTGAATCGGCAAAGGTGTTACAGTTCTGCCCATGAATGTAAGGTCGTGAATGACCCGCATTCATCCAAGTACCGCGTCGATAGCTGTTTCCTCTGGTGAGCCACTAACTAAACAACTTCGGGGGTAAATATTTACATATCCCCTTAGTCAAATAAAGCTGAGAGTCTGGAAGAGTACAACGCTATGGCGTTACATAGCTTAATAATTTTGTTGCCATATGGCGGTTGCATGACTCGGACAATTAACAATTAATAGTTGTCTCCCAATTACTACACATTTTCAACACGCACTGTTCCTGTTGCTTTTTCGTCCTTCTAATCTCTATCTTTTAATATCTGGTGTCACTGCGCGTTGTCTTGGCTTTGGCGCCAAGGCAGGCTATCAGAAGTTTTGGGTGTGGTCTCTCCACCAAATGTACAGTAAACATTAGCCACTAGATAAATAAATATGGAATGAAAACTTCAGCTCTTTTGTGGATGGCTTATAGGGTTGTTTTCCGCTTCCATTTTTATCTCCCTCCACACTTATGATCTCAGAACCCAGGACGTTGTGGGGGACTCGTTGGTATTTCAGGAAACTATTTGCATTCCAGCTTCGCTTCGGAGTGACGTCATTGAAGCTGCTGCTGTTGACAGCTTTATGGGGAATGTGGTCGACGGCTTTGTCTCGGCCATATTAATATGGATTGTGTAATGTCCTCGTTAGCGAAAACGGGGCTAAGTAAAAGTTGGATAGGAAAAGTTGGCCACAAACAGGTTTCCAAAACGAAAACTCTTGTTTACATGTGGATGTTTGTTGTGAACACAAAGTGGAACAATTAGCAGAGCGGGCGATATGCTTTCTTTCTTTGAATAGCCGAATTCATTCCTCATATTAATTCGTATTAAATTTTGACATGCCAGAGCCGAGTATGTTCTGTATCAAAGCCTACAGCCACCGCCCACAGATGAATTTTGATCTCATCGTGCTCTTCGTCGCGTTCCAAATCAGGGGAATTGAGTGTGGGCATGCACACATGATATACTAGTATGTAGATACATTTTTCAGATACAAATACTGTGAGGCCAACGGCCATGTGTGCACGATGATCAAATCAAGCGAATTCAATTAATAGCCGGGGCAATTGTTGCAGCAAGTCGGGCGGGCAGTCGTTTCTGGCTGAAGATCAAAGTTGATTTGCATTGTCTGGGGGCACGAAGCCCAGCCCCGTCACAACAACAACAAAAATCCCCAAAAAGCAGTGCACTCTAGACCTTGTCCAGATTTCTACGCCAAGCTGTGTAGAGTGTCATGTGTGAATGTCAGGGGACGTGGATGCTGCTTGTCTTGGAGCAGCTAATCTAATCAGATCAAATCGGATGGTTAAAGCCCAATTCCCTTGACAAGTAAATACTTTTGGACCACTTTTTTTGGCCTAAAAACCCAAGAATTACGTAACGTTGTCACTTATTTTAATTATCTCCCTGCTTATCAGGGGCTGATGGCGTGCCAGGGCCCGTTACTGATTCTCTGAGGTCAGTTCTAGGGCTCTGGGGTAATTAAGTCTATTTTAGCATGATAATTGCCAGCGCTCTGGTACTATGCCACTTTCAATTAAACTAAACAAGAACGAGATGATTAATTTGAACTATATTTAGAGCTGTTCGTTGGAAGTGCAACGACATTTCTCATTTGTTTCACTGAAATTGATGACTCAATCTAACTTTACTTATTTGCTTTCTTCTTTCAGGTTATTGGCATTCTGGGTATTGTCTATGGCGTGCTGATCCTGAATAGCATCGGAACCATTGAGGTCAATGGCCAGGTGGGCTTCCCGCCCCAGGCCCTCATGCCGATCGTCCTGATTAGCGTTGGCTCCATTGTCGTTTTCATTTCGTTCCTGGGCTGCTGCGGCGCCATTCGAGAGTCCGTTTGCATGACCATGAGCTATGCCATCTTCCTGCTGATCCTCTTGATCCTGCAATTGACCCTGGTCGTTCTGCTGTTTACCAACAAGGAGAAGTTCGATACGGCTATGGGCGAGGTTATTGATAAGTCCTGGGAATCGGACCGCGGTCGTGGAGGAGTTTTCGATGCCATTCAGAAATCGGTGAGTGACTGTGACACATTATCACACATTTTGTTCAATGTTACTGATACTCTGGACAATCTTTTAGCTCCACTGCTGCGGTGCGAATTCGTTTACCGATTACATTAGCGAAGGACTAACCCTGCCCAGCAGCTGTTGCGCTGGAAGTTGCTTGAACCCACTGAACTACTATGGAGGATGCCGCGACAAGTTCGTCGAATTCATGTCCGTCAGCACTGACAAGGCTAAATACGTTGCCATTGGCCTGATTGGAGTCGAGGTAAGCACTAACCCTCAATTAAATACGTGTTGTGATTAAAAACGTCCTGTTTTTTTTAGTTGATCGGCTTTATTTTTGCCTGCTGCTTGGCCAACAATGTGCGCAACTACAAGCGCCGGAACGCCTACTAAGTGACACATCTACCCA